TATTGCGGATTTCGCGATACAATAAATGTGTCGACAAAATATACTTAGCACATATTTGTTGGGAATTGCAACAATTCGTTAAGTCGGTTTCCTTAAACAACATTTTGAAGGGTTGTCTCGGGATTATAGAGTCACACAGACTGGGCGGTGCTATTATGATGAAAGAAAATTGCCTCGTAGTGTTGGTTTTTGGAAAGTAAAATGGTAGAAAGTAAAATAGTTAGTTCTAATAATAATGTTGTATACTATTTAAAACCAGGGGCGGACGTCCCCCCCCCCCCTCAGGGATTCGACCCCCTGTCGACCCAAAGGGTCCCCCTTTGGTACTTGTTAAGAAATCAATTTTTGGCCGACCGACCATAAAATTTTTCTAAAGGCGCCTTTGGCGCCAGTATATACTAATTTTGAGGGGGGAGCGCGCGCCGAAAAAACGCGATTTTTTGGTCAACGTTTTTAAACAGTTTTTTCAAAATTTTGCCTGCGGCGCAGAAAATTTGGCCAAAACAGGGACTAAAACGTGCGGTTCCCCCCTTTTTAACTCTAAACAACTTAACACCAAAATGAAATGGCCTTGCCAATATTTTCAATGAATCATTCCAAAATGAACCAAAAACAAGCAATAGTTCAATGAACTTCAAAAGCCCGCAAATAATTAGACGTCTTTTGACTAATATGGCCTGATTTTCTAGACATTTTCAGCCGGTATAGAAATTTAAAAAAGGTTTAACCAATGCCAAAAGCCTTAAAGTCATTATTTTTAGAATCATTCTCGAACTTAAACTTATGACCTGATCGCTTTGTCAGCTTTTTTTGAACTGTTGGCACATAAACGCAAAGCTAAAGGGTTTGCCAGCCCCTAGTCCCAACCTAGCATCCCGAAAATAAGGGCGATTGTCCTGGGAATAAATTGCTAAGGCACGAGTCATGTTCTTGCGTTTAGTTACGTTTCCGGGAGTCTGCAAGGAAACGTCTTTTCAAAAAAAGCTGACATAAATTTCAGTAGGATTAAAATTTGAAATTTAATAATACGAAAGAATAAACAAAAATGAAATAAAATTTACAATGGTTTAGCACAAACTAGATAACGCTCTGAAAAAGTACAGATCAGTTTTGTCTTCGTAAACGGACATTATGTTTTGTACTCTTTCATTCAATACTCGATACTTTTTCTTTTTTGTGAACTTATGGCCACTCGATGCATCAAAAAAGTTGAGTTTTTGTACGGAAGCGTCTTTTTGCAGGCTACCCACCACTTTCCACATATTTGGGTGGGCTCCGCTGAAATAGGATTGAATCCCGAAATGCCATCCCTCGACAGCATTTGTTGTTCGAGCAATCCCCATCACGGCCGCATCTCGCTGGTTCCAAAGGGAGGGTGGGAATGAAACTTCACGGTTTGGCACCAAGCTTTTTATATAAGTAGAGCCGAAGTACAGACACAACTCGTCAATTTTCTCTATTTTCTCGGGTTCTAAGCAATTTCTGTCGCATACATTTTGAATTTCTTGAACAATCATGTCATAGGAATCGCCGATCTTTTCTTTTTTTTCAAATGCAAGGGATGGCAGCATTTTTAAAGCCAGCGCTAATTCGTGATTTGTTTCGTAGGTCACTTTCAGACCCAATTCATTAATTTTTCTCATGTAACTCTGGGAGAGATGAAAAAAAACAACCCGATAAATGTGCTTCGGGGAATGTTTTTTGGAAGGACTGAAGAGCAGCTTGCTCAAAATCTAACAACATTTTTTCAGGCCGGCAGTTGGGTGCTAAATCAATTAACGCCTGCAACTGCAACAGTCGGGGTAAATCTCTCGCTGAGATCTTTTATATGCTTTATGACATTTCGGGCCTCCGATTTTCCCGCTGAAATGTCGTGGTCATGCTCTCCACGCGTCTCGATTAATTCGTTATTTTCAGTAATGGCAGTTGCTCGATATTTATGTGTTTGATATTTTGAGCAAATCCTGTTTTCTGTAAACTTATTTTTTCGCTTGAAATAAAATTCATGGCCGGACGCTATAAGAATTGGCTTGTTTTTAGATGAAACTGTGAACTCGAAAGAAGACTCAATCATAATGTGTTTCTTGTGTTTGCGTTTGTTTATCACTTGAATAAAGTATAAAGTGACTGTCAGAATTTAATTTTTGTCAGAATTTTTACGGCAAATTGTTTTGAATTAGCACAAGCAGCTTTTTTAGTAATCATAAAGGTTTAGCGAAAAGTCTAATTGAAAATAAATTACAAACCTGTAGATAAGAGTCTTAAGTAAATTGGTAAGACTCCTTTTAGCATGTATAACTAAGATAAACAAAGTTTTTCATTATGGTGCGTGTGTTAATTGCAGGATTAACTTTGGTGTGATAAGAGTTAAGATAAGGAATTCATAAAGCATTAATTTTAATAGTGAAATGACTAGGTGTTAAAATGTACTGTGTTAAACTGGAAAATAGGAGTTATATTGTTGTCGATTTAAATTGTTTAGTAGTGAAATGACTAAGTTTTAAAATGTACGGTGTTAAATTGTATGTCATTAAATTGTAGGACACCAAACGTGCTTAGGGAGAGCTTGAAAAATCAATTCGGTCGATCTAAAAAAAAAGGTCGACAAATTTTTTGAAAATCCGCCACCCCCCCCCTCGAGAAAATCCTAGATCCGCCCGTTTAAAACTATCATTTTTTTTCGATTTCCTTAGGTTCATGAAAACTTTTACATGGGTTACTCGATTCGGCCATGACCTGTTTTTTTCAACGGGCAATTTTCCTCATGACAAAAAATCTTGGTCTGACTTTCGTTTGTCTGCTTATCTTCTGTCGGCTTAGCTACCAGAGCACGGAATTTGCCTATAATTTGAGCAGTTTTACTAAAAATGAAGAAATTTTCTATCGTTTTTGGTTATTTGCAAGTAGTTGCGCCTGACTTTTAAACATTTTTGAAATTTTTCAATTTAAACATTTTTGAAATTATGGTTGTTTCTGATCGCAATAATTAAAAAGATCTATATGCCAGAACTACAGCGTAAAAAAGAGATTTTCCTCTTTTTTAACAAATATATCATTCGCCTGGTTGTTTAAGTGAGCTTTTATGAATCTTAAGCGTTAGAAAATAACTAGATCGTAATTTTTTTTGAAAACAAATGCGTCGCGTTTTTACTGAGTTTTTTACGCTCTAATTTTGGCACTTGTTAATGTATCATAATTGGCGCGAAGCTCTGGTTCCCTTGTTTGTAAGCTGTCTGTCTTATTCTTGGATGGCCGAATCAGCCGAAATGAAGCACCAAAAATCACCATGCTAGCTCAAATAGTTAAAGATTTAAAGTTGAAATGTCGAGGATCAGTCAATTCTAATTCTCTCTTGCAATTTTGTTAATTTTTTTGAAAAGCAGAATTCCGACCAAAACAAAATCTACGAAAGTTATAAGACTTGTTAATGGCATCACTGAAGTTCACTCTGCAGTTTTTAGCGAAGCACTTACAGCGTTCTGCAGTTTTCAAGATACTTGTTTGTCATAAATTATGGCCAAATGGAAAATCTGATGGATGATTATTATTAATAAATTTTAAACAGTTTCGTTCTTTGTTTTTCTATGCTCACTTGCTCTGTTTTTCTATCTAGCTTTACTTGCATAGGAACGTTGGATTTGGGTATTGGTGACTGGCAATGCTGGGGTTATTGTTGAAAAGATTGTATCAAGTCTTTTTTAACAGTGAGAAAGTTTTTTAGTTTCTATGAGTGACTGAAGTTAAATAACCTATATAAATAGTGTTGATTTTTTCCATTATCTTAAAACTTTCTTCACGCTTAATTTTGATTATTTTTGCGGTTTGACTTTTGATGTCTTTTTTTTAAAATTTCGTTCATATTCATTTCTAAATAGAAGGCAAATTGCGCTCTGAAATAACAGTTTTAATGGCGCAAAAAACGTAAATGACTTCCTATTTTAATAATTAGTTTCAGCAGGATAAAAATTTTTTCTATCGAATCAAATTTCTCAAACTGGGATAGTTGTTTCAAAACAGCTTGATCATGAAAGATACGGGAAATTCAAAGAGCCTAAGGTGATATATTGTCTTTAAACTCAAAAATTGAAATTAAATGTGATATTGCTCAAAATGTACTAAATTGAGTTAAGGTGTTATATATTGTATTGCTAAAGTACCTGAAATGATAGTGTCTCTCATAAACAATAAATGAGATATTAAATGTGATATTGTTCAAAATATGATATTGCTCAAAATATACAAAATTGAGTTAAGGTGTCATATATTGTATTGCTAAAGTGCCTGAAATGAAAGTGCCTCTCATAAACAATAAAATGTAATTGGGAGGACGACAACGTTTCTCATCCTCGTCTTCTCTGAACAGTTTTATTCTCTCCATTCTCTAAAAACAATTAAAAATGGACATCGTATGGTACTTAAGTTCCATTGGATGGAGTGAAGCTGACAATTGGGCCTCAAATGGCATAAATTCAATCTAATTTTGAACTAGATGTTAGAAGTAGAATAGTTTTCAGTTTTTTGCTAGGTGACCTTTAGCTCCAATATAATTTTTCTGAATTCTTATGAAAACAAACTGTATGGAAAGGAGTGAACTTTCTATTTTTTGTCATGTTTTTTTCCAATTCTTTTAGATTGATTTTAGCTAGCAAATATCACTAATATCAGATTCTTCAAAATAATTCAAGTAGCTATAGGACGATAGATTGTTTTTTGCAGACACTTTCAAAACAATTGACCAGTTTTTTGTTGATTCAAATTAATGAACATTTTTGGGCAAAAAATCATCAAATTCATCAAAGGAATGGATAGGCAGCGGGGGGCCTGCAGGTTCAATAACCGTCTTCCTTTGAACTTTTTGAAAAGTATAACTTTTGAGTAGCCCTTTCGGCTGGCCCTTTTGGGTATAATATTCCGGGTAACGGTAGGCTGGTAGCATTTTTTACGTGATGATCATTAGGTTTTTTGGTTGACCTTGAATCATGATTGTTGTTGTGTTGTAGACAGAAGCAGCTGATCGAGGAGGCTATAGTGAGGAATGACTTCCTGAAGAAGCTGGACAAGGTGCAGATCCTGGACATGGTTGACTGCATGGAGCCCAGGGTGGTGCGGATGCACGACACCATCATCAAAGAGGGCGAAGTGGGAAACGAGATGTTCGTCATCGAAGGCAAGTCTAATTAGTTACGAAACATCGAATATAGTTCTTAAATGCGACACGCAATAGAATAAGATAGCTACTCCCGGGGTTGAAAAAATACTATGCAAACTATCAGTCAGAACGGTTATACGATCAGGTAGTGGGATCTCTTTCCCTCTTTTGCACGGGGTGGAGATTCGTTTCTAGCCACAAATTTTACATATGCTTAACCATTGCTTTTTTCTTTGTAGGGGTGGCAATTCGTTACTAGGTACCGTAGTGGGGTAAAATAGTTAACGAGATCTCAGGTAGTGTGTGCAAATTGAAATAACTCAGTCAGTATATTAGAGGTTCTTTTGAGCATTTAACCTTTTGAGACCATCAAGCAAGTTCCATTTCACCTCTTTGAAAATAATCATGTGTTTGTGTTGTGTAGAGGGTAATGTGGAGGTGTTCAAGGGGAGTGGGAAGCAGCTGAGAGTGATGAAACCGGGCCAGCTGTTCGGAGAACTGGCCATCCTTTACAACTGCACCAGAACCGCATCAATCAGATGTGAGTCATTATTCATCTATGCCTCCTTCATTCATTACACTTTCCAGCTTAGGAGCGTAGTGTAATAGTACGTCTTTTCTTTTTTCCAAACTAAGTCACAAATATTGGTGCCACTTTTGGTGGCAATTTTACGGCTGTTTGATTGCATGTGCTTTGATATTCGATTAGCAATAATTTAACACAATTGGTGCATTTTAAATTCAATCGAAAAAGCCATTTGTTTCAAACAACAGTACAATAAAAAAATTTTTGAAATGTATACTTCATTTGGCTTTATGATTTCACATTAGTTACATGCAAAGTAAGTGTGAATGGCTTACGCTTGTTATATTCCAAATTTTACAAGCAAATTTATGTCGTTTTGTATGATCGAACCGCCACAGTGAAAATTTTAATTCTCAAGGCTTATTTGTAATCTTTTCAAACTTCTCTATTTTTTCTTGTTTCACTTCATAGAGCTGCTTTTTTTGTTGTTTTCTTGCTAGTGTTTGCGAACCTCAGCTTTGCTTCTGTGTAAATCTTATTCAAAAAAAAATTCAGTTATTAGTGTTTCGCCTCTCAGTTTGAAAGTATGGTTAGAAATATATTCAATTTGGAAAAAAATGTTTAAAGGCAGCAATCTCATCAGGCGCTATGTATTACCCATTTTTTTTGTTTGAATATGTAATTTGAATTTTTGTTTGAATTGTTTTTCGGTTCTTCTTGGTATGTGTTTTCTTGTGTGTTTTCTGTTAGTATCTAGGTCTCAAATATACTATATATCATAGCAGTATCAGCAGCTCTAACCTATTTATAGAATTGTTTATGTTCGATAAATAGATTTTCACTGAAGAATTTATTTTTGTTCAAGTTTTAATGATGTTTGATTTTAAGTTCACTGTGTTTTTGTTTAAGGGTAGCCTATCAATGGGCAATGATGTTTGATTTTAAGTTCACTGTGTTTTTGTTTAAGAGTAGCCTATCAACGGGCCTCCAAATCCAACTGCTCAAATCTTTTTAGTTTCCGAGATATGACGTTTCTTTATAAATTTTCAAAAAAAATCAAAGATTTTATATATTAAATTTTGACAAAAGTTGAAATTTTCTACCCTGTAATTGTGTGTTGTCAGGGTATTCTCAGAGGTTCGAAAACTTGCCCCAAAAGATGGCAGCTCAAATCCTTTTATTTTCTGCGATATGACGTTTTTTAAAATTTTTTATGGAAATTTCACAAAGTTTTCAGTTCCTAATCCTGTTTTCAGGCGCTGTCGGGATACTTTTTGGGGTTGGAATGTTTGCCCCCACCCTTAAGTGGGTGGTCTCTAGGTACGCTTAGAGGTTGCGGATCTTGCCTTCAATTCTGATTGCTGAACAGATACTGTTTTTTAAGATATGCCCCTTTTTAACGCTTTTTCAAAAACTCAACGCTGTGGCGGGTGTTTTATGGTTTTCTCAGGATTTTTATCTGCACTCCGAATATGACTGCTTTACGCATTTCATTTTCTTAGATATAACGTTTCCATTTTTTTTTTGAAATGTATCAGAAGTGTTCAATTTCATAAAAAGAATAAAAATTTGAAATTGTCGACCCTTTAGTTTAGGAAACCTTCAAGTCAAAGTTTTTATTCAAATTTTGAAATAATACGCATTGGGTATAATGTCTATTTTACGGTTGCATTCGTTTTTGCTGTTTTTTTTCCATATATTTTATGTAAAAGCACCTAGCGCTAGTTTTTTTTAAAATTAATTTTAGAATTTTAGTCGGGACCAATAAGGTTTTAAAATGATACCCTCTACTAGCTTTCCTCGAGGCAGTTGGCTGGCAAAAAAAAACAAATCTTCAGCCATAGTTCTTCTCACACTTCGAGAATGGTCGAAACAATAAGCAATGCCAGTTGCTGTGCACATTTTGCAGAATGTTGAGGCCATGCTTGTTTTCAAAGTGAAATCAAATTTTAGATGAAAAAATTGGAACAATTCATTTTGTTTGGCTTTTTTTCGGCTAATTATTATGATTTTTAGTATTATGGCTATTCTTATGGTTATTATTCTTATGATTATTTTGAAGATTTTTATTTTGATCTTTATAATAAGTATTATTATTATTATTTATATTATTATTATGATTTATTATAATCTATTATATGTTTAAATGCGGGCTTCACTATCTCGCCATGTTTAAGCTTTTTCAACGTATTATTTTTGCATGTTTAAGCTATATCGTATGTTGCAATGGTTAAGATTTTTTTTTCGATTTTCCAATTTGATCTTAGTGGTTATTTTACCGAGTTTGAATTAAGCAGCCCAAAAATCGAATTAGGGGTTGCGAATTTTGCCTCCAATTTTGAATGCCCGAATCATCTAAATACAAAGCTTGAAGGAAACGAGATAAGACGATTTTTGAGATTTTTTCAAAAATTTTCAGAAATTTCAAATAACAAAATAATTTATAAGACTTGAAGTTCCCAACCCTGTAGTTGGGTACTGTCAGAGTGCTATCAAGCATTGCGAGTCTTGCCTCCAAATATGACTGCTCAAATCCTTGTAGTTTTCGAGATATGACGTTTTTTGTGATTTTTTCAAAAATTTTCAGAAAACAAATTATTATTATTTTTTGTAAAATCTGAAATTCCCAACCCTGTAGTTGGGTACTGTCAGAGTGCTATCAAGGATTGCGAATCTTGCCTCCAAATATGACTGCTCAATTCTTTGAAGTTTTCGAGATATGACGTTTTTTGTGATTTTTTCAAAAATTTTCAAAAAACATTAATTATTGTTTTTTAAAATCTGAAATTTTCAACCCTGTTTTTGGGTACTGTCAGAGGACTATCAAGGATTGTGAATCTTGCCTCCAAATATGACTGCTCAATTCTTTGTAGTTTTCGAGATATGACGTTTTTTGTGATTTTTTCAAAAAGTTTCAAAAAACGTAAAATATTATTTTTTAAAATCTGAAATTCCAACCCTGTAGTTGGATACTGTCAGAGTACTCTCAAAGATTGCGAATCTTGCCTCCGAATTTGACTGCTCAATCCTTTGTAGTTTTCGAGATATGATGTTTTTTGTGATTTTTTCAAAAATTTTCAGAAAATTTTAATTTATTATTTATCAAAATTTGAAATTCCCAACCTTTTAGTTGGGTGCTGTCAGAGTACTCTCAAAGATTGCGAATCTGGCCTCGGAATATGACTGCTCAATTCTTTGTGACGTTTTCGAGATATGACGTTTTTTGTGATTTTTTCAAAAATTTTCAGAAAACTTAAATTATTATTTTTATAAAAATCTGAAATTCCCAACCCTGTAGTCAGGTCCTGTCAGTACTCTCAAGGATTACGAATCTTGCCTCCAAGTATGACTGCTCAAATCCATGTAGTTTTTGAACGTTTTTTGTGATTTTTTCAAAAAATGTTCTGAAAACATATTAATTTTTTTTTCGCAAAATCTGAAATTCCCAACCCTGTAGTTAGGTCCTGTCAGAGTACTTTCAAGGATTACAAATCTTGCCTCCAAGAATGACTGCTCAATTCTGTGTAGTTTTCGAGATGTGACGTTTTTTGTGATTTTTTCAGAAAACTTACATTATTATTATTTTTTTAAATCGGTAATTCCCAACACTGTAGTTGGGTACTGTCAGAGTACTATCAAGGATTGCGAATCTTGCCTCCAAATATGACTGCTCAATTCTTTGTAGTTTTCGAGATGTGACGTTTTTTGTGATTTTTTCAAAAAGTTTCAAAAAACTTAAAATATTATTATTTTTTAAAATCTGAAATTCCCAACCCTGTAGTTGGATACTGTCAGAGTACTCTCAAAGATTGCGAATCTTGCCTCCGAATTTGACTGCTCAATTCTTTGTAGTTTTCGAGATATGATGTTTTTTGTGATTTTTTCAAGTTTTCAGAAAATTTTAATTTATTATTTATCAAAATTTGAAACTCCCAACACTGTAGTTGGGTACTGTCAGAGTACTATCAAGGATTGCGAATCTTGCCTCCTAATATGATTGCTCAATTCTTTGTAGTTTTCGAGATGTGACGTTTTTTGTGATTTTTTCAAAAAGTTTCAAAAAACTTAAAATATTATTATTTTTTAAAAATCTGAAATTCCCAACCCTGTAGTCAGGTCCTGTCAGAGTACTCTCAAGGATTACGAATCTTGCCTCTAAGTATGACTGCTCAAATCCTTGTAGTTTTCGAAAGTTTTTTGTGGTTTTTTCAAAAAATGTTCAGAAAACTTATATTAATTTTTTTTTCGCAAAATCTGAAATTCCCAACCCTGTAGTTAGGTCCTGTCAGAGTACTTTCAAGGATTACGAATCTTGCCTCCAAGTATGACTGCTCAATTTTGTGTAGTTTTCGAGATGTGACGTTTTTTGTCATTTTTTCAGAAAACTTAAATTATTATGATTTTTTTTAAATCGGAAATTCCCAACACTGTAGTTGGGTACTGTCAGAGTACTATCAAGGATTGCGAATCTTGCCACCAAATATGACTGCTCAATTCTTTGTAGTTTTCGAGATGTGACGTTTTTTGTGATTTTTTCAAAATTTTCGGAAAGTTTTCAAAATTTTTCAAAATTTTCGGAAAGTTTAAATTAATTATTTTTCAAAATTTGAAATTCCCAACGCTATAGTTCGATTTTGTCAGGGTACTCCAAGGAGTTGCAAATCTTGCCACATGCGACTGCTAAACGCGCCTGCTCAAATGCTTTATGTTTCCGAGATGTGACGTTTTTTGATTTTTTCAAAATTTCTCAAAGAACTTATCTACAAAGAAATTCAAAAATTTTGAAACTACTAACTTAGTGAAGACACAACCTTAGTGTCAGCGTACACCCAGGCGTCTCAAATGTTGCCTATTTAATGAATGCTCAAATCCTTTTAGTTACCGAGATAAGACGTTTTTTTTAAATTTTTTTTTGGGAAACTTAGGTTTTAAAAAAATTCACAAAATTTTGGATTCCTAACCCTATAGTAGGGTGCTCTCAGGGACTCTCAGTGGTTGCAAATCTGGCCTCCAAATTTCTCCAGAGGCTCATTAAGTTTTCGAGATGACGCTTTTAAAATGGGAATTAAAAAGTTCGAAATTACCAACCCTGTAATTGGGTGCAGTCAGAGTACACTAAAATTTTGCAGATGTTGTTTCCAATATATGCGGTTTTTCATGGATTGTGGAAAAATTTCGAAGCACCGGAGGTGCGTTAAACGCTAGTTTTTATTATAATTATTAGTACTGTAGTATTATGATTGTTTTTATTAATTTGATTATATTTTATACAAAGGCTTTGCATTAAAAGATGAAGGTATTTCTCCCTAAACATATGGCCTGTGACGCCATTTCAAATATCAATTGTTTGTAGTGGTTGAAGGCTAAGAGAACTATTCAGTTGCAGGAACAATTTAGGTCTTACTTGGAATGGTATTGGATACAGTAATAGTTAAGCAGTCTGTTTTTGAGACCTTCGGGTGAAAGGAAGTTGATGTGGCCGTCGACGAGGGCCTTCAAGAGGCATGTCTTGTACCAAAATTTTTTCTCATTCTGTTTACCCGAACCCTGGGGATATCGAGTATTTAGTCTCTTCTATTTAGGCAGAGAAGGACACGAAATTAAGACAATTGAGCCGCTACCAGTCTTATATGATTTAAGATAAGGGCAGCAAATTGTTCTTCGCGATATATAAGGATAGTGGTAGCAAGTTGATCTGATCTAGGCGCTCTATTTATTGGAGATCTTGTATTGATTCATTAGATATGATAAAATAGACTTTATGGTTTTGTGTTTCATTAGGGTTAAGGCGTAATTTTTGCGAGTAGTTTCAAAACTGTATGGGTCAAAGTTTTCTTAGAGTTAATTGTTTGTGAAGGTCAATTGTTAGCTTATTTGCTGGTGGGTAGTTTTTCTGAATGCTTATTTAGCGTTGGTGATTGCATTTCTCATCATAAGGGAGTTTTCTGATATATGAGGTTTTTGTAGATGATTTTTTTTCGACATTTGTTTGAATATATGTTTTCGACTTATTGGTTTTAACTTTATTTTCTATCGGCGAACTTGCTAGGTTATGTTCGTGTTATATCGCAAGTGTTGGAATCTCTTTATATCGCTTTGTCTTTATATTAAATAGATTACGTTTTTTTAACAATAGTTTTTGTTTTCTTTTTGCTTTCGTTGGCTCGAAAAATAGCTTATATTACATCAGCTTAATCGCCTCACATGTTGTCGTTTGATGGGCGAAAAAATTTTCATGAGTTTGTTCTGCGGAAAGATATAAAATTATCGATGCAAAATTTTTCAAGATTACTTTTTTCGGTTCAACTGGCGTCGTCTGCGCGCGTATTGTCGGCTTAGTTACCGCTTCATAAATTTTCTTTCGATGCTGATTTAACATGTGCAATTGCTTTACTTGGCATGTTTTCCTCAAATAATGTTTAATTCAAGACAAATTGTGACTAAACTTGAAAAAATTTTGATTGAAATATTTTTTGTTGTTTTTCAAACTATTTTTTTTTCGACTTTGTGGTTTTGCTATCTTTTTTTTTGTCGGCTACCTTTTCATTTTATGTTTGCGAGGAATCGAAAGTTGTGCGAAGCTTTGCGTGTAAGTTTTATTGGTTCATGCCAACAAATAAAGTATAGTAAATACGGTGGCACCAACTGTTGTTTTGCCCCAGGAAAGAATTCGGCCCTGAAGTACGATAAGTATATCTATATCAAGCCCGAAGCTAAATATAATATTGGCTGGAAGTAGCTATTAGAGTGCGGCTAGAACGGATTTTCCAGATATTGCTTTAATTAATTCAAAACTAATCAAATGAGCTACTCCTTCCAACTATGCGAATGTTTGACTTGTGTTTGAGACACTCGCGAGCGTATCAAGCTAGAGTTTTGAAGTATTACAACCTTTTAATTGTTAAATTCTTCGTAAACTAGATGTAAACATGAATTCTAAGATGTGAGACTGGTTTTTGGAAAATTGTTTATCCAATTTCCAAGGTTTAGTCACAAAAAATTGCTACGTGCTTCATTTTCTTTTGACATGCTCCAAAGTTGATGTATATTAGTGGAATTAGAAAGTTTTTGAGGAATCTGGCTGGAAAATTGTTTTTGTAAAGCTCTTAAATGGAGTTCCTCTTCAGTAAAATTAGCATCGTCATCCCAAAATTGGAACAGTAATTATTTTTCCTTCCCTCTAACTCGATGATTTTTATTTCTTGAAGAAAACTTTAAATCTTCAATAATAGTCATGAAAATAGTTTTAAGTGTTGGTGTTTGCGCAGCCATCGACATTTGTTCGAACAACTGTAAATTGTGGCTCACTCTGGTGTGGTTTATGAAGCTATCTTCTGCTTTCAGCCGTAAGTGACTGCAAACTGTGGGTGATCTACAGGAAGGTGTTCCAGAATGTGATGATGAAGAGCACGATCCAGAAGCAGGAGAACCACATGATGGCCCTCAAAAGGTGTCCCCTCTTTGCTGGGTGTGATGAGGACACTCTGAAGAGGCTGGCAGACACGATGGAGGAGCGACACTTCAATCCGGGAGAGTTTGTGATCAGACATGGCTTCCATGGCAACTGCGCCTATTACATAGTATCCGGAGAAGTGAGTAGTGCACTTCTAGTATGATATTCATCAATTAAGTTAGCGATCGTTTTGAAATTCGTGGCAATTTTACATGAGCTCTTGAAGGAAAGTTTTATAAAAAGAATGAATCTGATGTCGTTTTTCCCGTAGCTGAGTTTTCAACTGACCTCACTAGACTGTTATCACCCCTCTGTTATCAACGAAATATTTTTTTCTAAGTTGTGTTCTCCCAAACAAAGCATATTGTTTTTGTAAGTTTATATAAATAAGTTTATATTTGTAGTGTTAATATATATCGTTTGGAAACAATGTGTTTTTATTATAAAAGTATTTTTGATGTTGTTTTTCAGGTTGATGTGCAAAGAAAAACGGATACGAAGTTCTCAGCGACGTTGCATAACAGTTCCTGGTTTGCAGACGAAACCCTTAGAGAGTAAATTTTTAATCTAATCTCCTTACTTCAAAACAATACCCTCACTTTTGGTAGACGATTTTGGGGGTTTTGTCTATTCAATTTTCCTCAGTTATGCTGTAAAGACAACTAGCTCTCTTTAGCCTCAAATAAACACCATTGTATAGTCGGTTTTAAGTTTTGAACTGAAGAAAACATAGTTGGATGATTTTGGTGTGGGTATCTTTGCTGGTTTTCTTTTTTGCCTCTGTTTAACAAATAATTTTTTATGGTATGATCAAAGGTTTTACAGGTTTATGCTTGAAGGTCATTTAGATTTGTAAATGGGTCGTAAGACTTATCTACGAGCCTCATAAAAACCCACAATGCGAAGGAAACTTCAGAAGTAAACTAATGGTGTGAAGGCGGATTGATAGTGATGGATTTTTTTATTTTTATTTTTTTGTCTTTTTTTTTTAAAATTGTTTTCTTGTTGGAGGTGTTATTAATAATGAATATTGCAATAGTATATCAAAAAGGCATGCGCTTATAACTTATCATAGGCAGTTAAAGGCTTTTCTCAGAGTATAAAATGTGGAGGTACTTTGTTGAAGGAAGTGTCCTAGTTTCAGCTGTAATGTAACTTAAATTGATCCTGATGGTGGCAATTGTTGTTTCAGCCAAGATTGTATGTTGGAGAATGTAGTGGTCAGTCAGAAGTCGCCCTGCACGTGCCTTATCTTGAACAAAGACTCTTACATCCAGGCCATAGCCGCCATCAACAGTCAGGAGAAAGTGGGCAAAAATCAGCAGATATCAGTAGTGCCTAGACACACGTCAGTCAAGTTAACTAAACAGACACCTTCTCAAAGTTTTATTCACAGGACAATTCCGCTCTTTTAAGAGTCGATCAACGTAGTTCAGATTTTTATATAGGTCGTGATATTAGTTTTTTTTAAAAGGAAAATCGTAAAATTTGTCAAGATCAAATTTACTTTTGTCGCGGTCAGATTTTATTTCTTATTGATCACTGTTCATCACTGTACAGATCATTAAACTGTTCTAGAAATTCAAAGAGCTTTAAGTGCACCTATTTGTTTATATGAAATCCGAAAGTTAAAAAAAGCAAGTCAGTATTTTTTGTTGAGCTTTCATTGACTCTTTTCCACCTGTATGTTGATTATAAAACGAAAGTCCTACTGATGGTGGTAATGTTACTTTTGGTTGCAAAGGTGGGAGGGGAAGGGGCGAGGTGTAGTTACAGATCAAATTTGACTTTCGTTCTAGTCAAAAGAAGTAGCTTTGAAGGTTGTGTAGATGAAATGATTTCCGGTTAATCCAAATGGAATCATGCCCTTGGACGTGTTAACTGTGTGATGTTTGCAGGGAGTTCGAGAAGAATCCCACGTCACCGGAGGAGTTCGAGTACGTGGCCACTCTGGGCGTGGGTGGATTCGGACGAGTGGAACTAGTCAAGTACAAGCATGGATCTCAGTTGAAAACATATGCAATGAAGACTCTGAAGAAGAGACACATTGTTGAGACTAGGCAGCAGGAGCACGTGATGAACGAGAAGAACATAATGCTCGCATGCAGATCTCCCTTCATCGTATCGTGAGTGGATTCTACTGTCTTCTTTAAGAGTAATGAACGTAACGTAATGAATTATCGCGGTTTGACTTTTGCGTTTTTTTAAGTTCATTTGTTGAAAGGAACGCAAAATCCATAATTTTGTTTTCAAAATACGAAAGCTTTTCTAAAAACAAGTGTTTTTTCTTTCCTTGCGTTCATTACTCTTTTCCAACTGTCAGTTGGTTATGTTTTTTTGGATCAATTGAGCAATCTCCCCCCATTCTCGCGTGGGGGGGAGACAACTCAATAGGTACTTGAGATATATTTATAACCACTTGAAAATAGTTTGAATGATATGAAAACATGAACGAGATTCTCCAATGAATATGGAGCGCCAAGTCTTACAATATCAAAGCTCAAAAACTACATTCAGAGTGAAAACAAAACCAATAAAACTGAGGCACATAAAGCGACTTTTTTCTGTCCTAAATGGTAAAAAAAGCTATTGCGTACAATAGTAAGGTGCTGAAGAGAATTGTTTTTGGTATTCAGATACAAGGTCAGAGCACCAACCCTGATAACTCGTGTACCTCAATAAGAGGCAAGAGTCGCCCAAACAAAAATTTGTAATTTTTCGATTTTTTCTCTTCCAAATTTTTCTCGATACCCATATAAAATTAACTTCAGCCGGTCAATTGATTGCGTGCCATGAACACATCAACCATCTAATTGCGTTTGTTGGCGAGTTTTTGTAGTGTCTTAGTTTTTGCTTGGGTGGGGGAAGATAGCTCAATTGGTCAATACGGGGGGGGGAGATATTGCTCAATTGATCCGTTTTTTGTCATGCCTTACACAATCATCATTCTAGTGCTGTAACCGGCAAGGGGTTTATGTAAGCTATTTTCCATGTTTTTCTCTAAATTTTGTCCATGTAATCCAATTGTCATGAAAATTAGGATGTGGCTTCATTAAATAATTACACACACAGTTAGAGGCACATTTTGTCTTCATATTTTGTCTTCATTAGTACAGTTGATTTTTTAAGTTGATTTACCATAAGCCGTGGTGCTTCAAGTGTTATTTTCAATTTTTTCTGTGTTTAGACTATTCGGCACCTTCAAAGATTCCAAGTATCTCTACATGGTGTTCGAAGCCTGTCTCGGAGGTGAATTGTGGACCATATTGCGAGACTTGTAAGTTCCTATTATCCAATTAGCTATTCTTTTCAATCAAGAAACTTCAGATGCTAAGGGAAGGAATTTTGTTTTGAGGTGTTTTTTTTCCTGCGCAAAATCAGTGAGCTTAAAGTCGTGCGAAATTGATTTCCTTTCATATTAATTTTTCAATTTTTTATCAGAAAAGCTATAAAATTGAGTCCGCTCAAGATTGATTTTTGGCGTTTTGACTTTTGATTTCTTTTAAGATCAAATGAAATTTATTTGCTTAAAGGATTGCAAGTTACGTTCTCCGATATCGAAAGTGTGAAGGCCCCAACAATCCTGATTGACTTTAAGTTCGGAAAGTCGATTTCAACTTCTAGATTTCCCAGCGGAAAAGAAAAATTGTTTTTTACTTTTTTTTGGGAAAAGGGTTTTATTTTTACACTCGCGATCAGCTTAGTGTGTTATTAGGACCCTTCTTTTTTTCTAACCTAACTCGCAAATAAAAGTGTTCACTTATTTGGAAGCTTCACTGTAGCATTGGAAATTGCATAGCATGTTCTCTGCTTTATTAAGATCAGTACATTTCTATTGTTAAAAGGAATGCAAATTCCACTATCGAACATTGTAAAGGTCACGAAAATGGAAACTAATTATCAGATTTCGCAGCGAAATAAATGTTTTACCTATCGATCCAGTTTTCTCAAATTGTGTTAATTATAACAAAAAAGTGTCCGTCATAAATTGTTCTACAAATTCAAAGAGCCTTAAGACCATCTATTTTTTTCTTCGAAATTCAAAAGTTGAAGATTTCTGAAGCAACAAGTTGGTTATTTTTTCAGTTTCCCTGCGTTCATTGCTCTTTTTCAACTGTCAGTTGGCTATTTTTTGTGACTGAGTGGTTAATAGACATTGACACAGTTTATAGAGAATTAAATTGACTCATTTCAATGAACGTAGTGAACTCTTATTAAGGTCGTGTTGAAGCAGCTGATCGACTTGATGAAAAAGCTGATCGATTTCTAGTTTCGAAAGTGGAACTAAATTTTCAGATATCCCGGCGAAATGAAAATTATAATTTTTGATCCAGTTTGCTCAAATTAGATGAATTTAATCGAAAAAGTGCGAATCATAAATTGTTCTAGCAATTCAAAGAGCGCTAAAGTCATTTGTTTTTTCTTTGAAATTCGAAAGTTTTTTTAAGACATTTAAGTTTCTATTCTCCAATTTGGTAACTATTATCAATCTAGAAACTTCAAATTCTGAGTGAAGGAACTTTCCCCCGCGCAAAATCGGACGGGAGCGAATACTTGAAATGTTCAGTGAACTATGGGAAAACACATATGAGGTCATACTAATTTTTCTATTTTTTTGTTAGCAAAGCTATAAGTTTTTTCAGAGACGCTTTTGAATTTTTTTTTAGAAAAGTTCTAAAGTTTGTTCAGGGTGAAAATTACTTTTTGCGGTTTGACTTCTGATTTTTTTTTTGTAAACTTCCGTTCATTTTCTTTGTTAAAAGGAAGGCAATCTCCACTATCGAACAGTGAAAGTGTTAAGGTCATGAAAAACGTGATCGACTTCTAATGTCGAAGTGGAATTTAATTATCGAATTTTCCTGCAAAATAAAAATTTTATCTTTTGATTCAGTTTGTCAAATCTAGTTTTTTTTTCTTTGGAAAAATAAAAGGTATTTTTTTACTTGCGTTCATTGACTCTTTTCGAACTGTCTATTTGGCTACTTTTCCAGCTGTCTGTTAGCTATGTTCTTATTTTGAGTGTTGATTACAAGGATTGTTAAAAAGCTTATGTGTTATCATGTTGTGGCGATTAATAGTGAGTCATTCCGTTTCAGTTCTCACTTTGACGACGGCACAACTAGATTCTATCTTGCCTGTGTGCTGGAGGCATTTGAGTACCTCCATGGCAAAGGCATCATCTACAGGGACCTGAAGCCAGAGAACTTGCTTCTGGACACCAGCGGATACGCTAAGCTTGTACGTCTTCCTGCCCATTTTAAACCTTTTTGGTATTTTTTCACTTGTATTATTGTTTGTGACGTGGCTTGGTTTTTAAAGTTTAAATATAGAAAAAGGATTAGCTTTGACCAAATGCAAATTGGTTTGAACTGTTCATGAAAACAACTTTGAACTGCTCTTAATTTAGCTTTAAATGCTTCAAAATGAACTTAAATGGTTTAAAGAAAGAGATTTTCATTTACAGTCCATGAAAAAATCTTCTTAAAAAATTAAATGGTTGTCTTGTTTTCTAAGCATTGATGCATCTGAGTTTCGATTAATTTCATGCTCCTTTTCGTTTCAGTGTGACTTCGGCTTTTCTAAAGTGATTGGGAACAACAAGACGTGGACTTTCTGTGGCACCCCGGAGTACGTGCCTCCCGAGATCATCCTCAACAAGGGCCACGACTACTCGGCTGATTACTGGTCAATCGGCATCCTCATGTTCGAACTACTCACAGGAAAGTGAGTCACTCGGCATCATTCTAATTAATACTACAAACTCCAATTAAAAACTGTCAACACTAAAATAGGTTTTTAACAGATTTTTTATTTTCGTTTTTAATTTGAAAGGATTGCATCTATTAGATATCGCATTCAGATTTGAAGTTTTACGGAGCATATCTGATGGTTTATATGATAGGTTTTGCCATAATTTTTGAAGAAGAAACTGTAGCCTCAGATTTACTTTTAATGATAGTTTTTTCTTAATTTGTAGGAATACATTAATTTCCTTAATTTGAGTTCGAATCAAGTTCACCGAGGTAAAGGTGAAGATGCACAAAATTGTTAATATTAGGTAGTCTAAGAAATTAATTTGGAGCAATTGTTGATAGCAGATGGGACTCTAAGAAAAACATCAATTTTAACAGAAGCTGAATAAAATTTAATCAAAAGTAATAGGCAAAAGGAGGAGCAATTAACAGATTTATTGGCGAATACTAGGGTGCGCTGTGCTGCAGTAAAAGGCAAAAGATATCAATTTCTTTCCTTCGTGAAATTCAAGTTTGAAATAAGGTTACTTATTTTCCCAAATGTAGTTTTTAGAGATAATAGATAAGAGTATCAATATGTGTGTATGTGATTTCAGCCCCCCATTCGTGGGCAGTGACCCGATGAAGACATACAACATCATCCTGAAGGGCATAGACGTGATCCACTTCCCCTCGAAGAAGATCTCGAGGTCGGCCAACCAGCTCATCCGCAGACTGTGCAAACCCAACCCGGCCGAGAGACTAGGGGCGCCCAAGGGGGGCATAAAGGAGATCAAGAGGAACAAGTGGTTCGAGGGATTCAACTGGGACGGAGTGGCCAATCGCAAACTGGTGCCGCCCATCATGAAAAATGTATGTCATGTAGTTATCATTTCCAAACATTTTTATGCGGCTGAAATAGGCAAAATTTGAAGAACAATATAAACTAATAGTGTTAAAGAGCGTAGTATAGATCTTTTCAATTTTTTCCGAGAAAACTCTTTAAAAGCTGTTCATTTGATGACTAGATGGCTAATTACGCTTTCCAATAAAAAGTGCAAATGTCGTGATAGAATTTCAGCTTCAAAAGGAGTTGATTTCCAACGAAATAAAAAAATACCTAGTTTTCTCAAATTAGGTTAAATTTTAATAATAAGAGTCGGTGGTTCAGACTCTTATTCAGGTCGCGATTTTTTTTGTTTCGTTTTTTTTTTGCAGGAAAAGTCTTACAATTTATGCTCATATTTACTTTTTCGCCGTTTGACTTTTGATTTCTGTTCCTTTCATTTTCTTTGTTAAAAGGAAGGCAAACTCCCCTATCGAACAGCGAAAATTGAAAGTTCACGAAAAACGTGATCGACTTCTACTTTTGAAAAGGCCATCTGTTTTTTATTTGGAAATTCGAAATTGAGTTTTTTTAAAAAAAAAAAAACAAGTCAGTATTTTTTGTTCCCTTGCGTTCATTACTCGTTTCTACTGTCAGATGGCTATATTTTTTGTTTTCGATCAATTTTTCCTATTCAGTAACTTCTGGTTAGTTTTTCTGTCTATGATTTGCTAATGATGTATCATAAGTAGAGCGATACTCCGCTTCGCTTCTGTATAACATAATTCGCCTCATTGGAGTTGATGGAAACTTATTTTGTTTGTGTTGTTTAGATTGCCTCGCCCTTAGATACCAGTAACTTTGATCGGTACGAGAGAACGAATGAAGCTCCGCCTCCAGACGACATGACAGGCTGGGACCGAGACTTCTAGATTAGTCCCCCCAGTTCCACCCAAGTTCAAATCTAGTCTACATGAACACGGGCCATATTATTACCCACAAAGTTTCTATCTCTAGTCAACAAATCTATCCGAAACGAACTTTCACCAAAGTAGTCAGTCGAAAGAACGAGCAGGAAACAGAATCGACATTTTAGGAGAAACTCATTATTTGAAGTTTAAAATTGCACAATTTCGGTGCTCTTTTCTAATTGATTCAAACTTAATCTGTATTCTCGTTTTCAATCAAATGGTTCGAAATTAACTTGTACATAAAATGCTTTCATCTTTCGCGGTCTTTGCACTGAATTTAAACTCACTTCTACAGTTCGAAAACCTGAGTCGATTATAGACTCCAGGCTTCACTGGGTTGACGAAAATAGGAAAAAAGAATATTTCATCTGGTATGTTTTTGATAGCATTACAAATTGACGAGCCATATAAGAAGTAGAGCCTCACAGTAGACATTAGATGCTCCTACTGGTCTTTGAATATTGCACTTGATATCAAGTAAACATATTTGTGAGCAAATAAATTCAATTTCGAAAAAAAAATTATATTTGAAATCACATAAAAAAAATTTAAAAACATCTGATTGTGTTTGGCTGAGTATTTGGGTATTCACATGAAACGCTAAGAAAGCTCAATTAAATTACATGCCATGTTATATACTATACTAGTCGCAAAAAGGAATTTAGAAAAACTACGATTAAAAAAAAAAACGAGAAAGTTTTCATCACAATGAGGAAATTTCCAGATGAAAAAACTGTTTCAAACTCAAAATTTACCAATTTTTGTGCCGTTTATAGGGTCGCGGGACCAGTGAAGAAATATCCATCTAAATTTTGCGTAGATGTTTTGTTTTATTGAATGAAAAAAATCATGTCTCCAAGTGCGTTATTTTGTTACTTTTAAACAAATTTCGACGATTCGTCATTTCCTAAAATAAGAAGATATTGAAGTTCTTGAACCAATCGAAGCACTTTGTTTTGACAATAGAAACAAGCAATCTAAGAATTTTTCCGCCTGTGATATAGCAGTTGATTTTTTTGGAAATTTGCGGAATTTTCTGGAAAATTTTTTAAATTCGCTCAGGCTCAAATTTATTTTTTTGCGGTTTGACTTTTGAAAAGTGAACTTTCTTGTTGACTTTCTTTTTAAGTTTCGAAAGTGGCAGTAAATTTACAAATTTTCCAGCGAAAAAATTTTTTAGTGATCCAGTTTTTTCATATTGGTATGATTTCATCAAAAAAAGTGTAAATCCAAAAATTTTTTGAAAATTAAAGAGCTGTAGGGAGGTATATTTTTTCTTCGAAATAAGTTACAACTTATTTTGGATGTGTTATTTAGATTGCCTCGTCGTTAGATACCAGTAACTTCGATCGGTACGAGAACGAATAAAGCCTCGCCACTTCTAGACTAGTTCCCCAGTTCCATCCTACTTCAAATCTAGTCTACATGAACATAGGCAATGATATTACATTTTTGATTCTTTTGCAGATTCCTAATTTCAAACTTGAATTTTAAGAAATTCCGCGAAACTCAAAATTGTACCTACTGTCTTAGGTAACTCTAACTATATCTTTTTTTGGAAGTGCAAATCATAAGATCTTCTTGAAATTCAAATGGCTTTAATACATGATTATTTTTTCAAATCAAAAATTATCAGAAAAATATTCGCTTTGTCTTGAAGGTCAAACTGTCATTTTTGTCATGGCAGGCGAGCTTTCGAGTATAGTGCTGTATTGTTTATTTATTTCAGATCATTCGACTTCTGCAGGCTACGCGATTTTTTGGAAGCTGATTTGAAGGTTTATATGTCGATACTTTTTCTTCTTACGGCGTTCTTTTTTTTCTTACAAACAGGTGTTCGAACAATTTACGAAAGTTTCTTTTGTTTTTCAACTCATTGACATTTTTTCAGCTTGTTTTGACTATCTTTCATTTGAGTTTTCCAAATTGAAGTATCAATGCGAAAAAAGTACGACTATGTTGTTCGATGAAACTTGGGCATGCTAGTAATATAATGTTTTGTTTATTTGAAAACCAAGAAAAACATTAGCCATCTCTTTTCGCAGATCAATTAAATGCAAATGAAAAAATTATTTTTGAGTTTTGACATTTGATTGCGCTTGGATTAATTGTTGTTATTTCACAGGTTTTCAGCTTATTGGATGTCGGCTTCAATTCTGTCAGCTTATTTATCGATTTTTTTTCTTAAAGTTGTACTTATGCGATCGATAAGTCTCTTACACCAATATTGTCTGCTAAATTTCAACCGCACTAGAACCTTTTTGAAAACTTAAATCAATTCAAACAGCAAAAAATGCTTTTTTGTATTTTTAATAATTTTCTATCGGTTTTCCACTTCCGTCTTTAATAGTAACATTGTTCGAAGTTCTGTTTGCTAATTTTTTAACCGTCATGGTGCACTCATCCTATAATTGTTGTATCGCAAGTGGTGCGAAGCTCAGCTTCGCCTCTGTGTCAAAAACCATTCTCAAAATTCATAAATCTTTAGTTATATTAGCCGATGATTAAAACGGTCGACGACAAATGATCCGTCACGTGGCTTAGAAGAAAGTTTTAGGGACACAAATGTATCAAAATTGGTGTCGTACCTTGTGTTTATTCAATAAGTTGAGTCAACCTGGTTTTTGCGGGTTATCGAAAAGACCATGTAATGTTCATTCAGATTTCATGCTTACATATAGTTCAATCTGGTTTGATTTCCTTATTCTACTTGACTTGCCTGTAGATGCAAATCATTTATTATCATCATCACCTGTGAGTGGTATACAGATATGATTATATCATTTATACATAAATACACTGATTTGATAATTTAGTTTTGATACTTTGATTTTTTTGTGTTACACGATCAATGCATGGAAGGTTAGATAGTAAAGAAAGGTAGCAGTCCTTTGTTTTTCTGAAACTGATTTTTGGGAATTTTTTAGTTACAAAGCACGAAAAATATTATGACTAGCGCGTAGTGGGGAATACTTTGAGATGCGGTTGGTGTGTTTGCAATCCAATTATTTCAGATGTGGTAAACTGATTCCCATTAATTCCCGTTCAGCCGTGATTTACGTTGCAAAAAGCTCAAAAAAGAAATTACTTTATGCCATTTTTTAATGATTTTGTTTTTTTTGTTCAAATTAGTATTTTGTTTTTTTTTTTCTAATTTTTTTGTCGGATTAGCTGTTGGTAGAAAAATGTGTGTTACCTTTTCACCAACCAGATGTTTCTTACCATTAAAACAATAAGAGCTCATTTTTGAAAAAATTTCGAAACTTGCGTTTTCTTCCGATTCTCAAGACGGAGCTCATACTTCGTTTTTCAAACATAGTAAGCATTCAATACGCTCTTCAATTTTCGATTTTGGAAGAAAAAGTAGTTGTTAGAAACCTGTGACGTATATTTTGATTCGATGTTTTCACATGTCAAATTTATTTAAATATCCATCACCGATGTGTATCCATTTTCTCGAGTTTTGAAAATCGCTATTCTTGCAGAAACTAGTGTCCTGAAGCTCTTCCTGACTGGAGCTTGCCTGATTGCTGAAATATATTTAGGCCTGTATATGTGGCAGCTGCGTGCGCAGAAATTTTTCGAGGGTGGTGCGGTTTTTTTCGAAAAACTTCGATCTTCTTTTAGGCCATTGCGACTTTTTCGGGCTCTGCTGAATCCTGATATCAGCTGATCATAACCCCTGATTATATTGGCATTATTGAATTCGCGGCGGGCAATTTGCTGGAAGAAAATTTCGTTTCTGATAGCTGAGCATTTTTTGGTTTTTTGAAGGTTTTGACCTTAAGGTCATGATATATTGACGCCAAAAGCGTTATTAGAATGTTTTTAGCGTTAGCAGCCAGAAATTGAAGTCGTGTAATAGCACAAGATTGGGCCCTTTAGAAAATTGTGGCAATAAGAATTCAGGAACAAGCGGCTTGCTACCAATGACCGGGCTAATAATGCAGTATCTTCATTATTGTAAAAATTATTCGGGTCAAGGTGATAAAATATCTCAAATAAACGTCAAATTCATCCATAAGTGCTCGAGCTGAGGCTTTGAAAGTTTGACCCATCGTACGATATGGGTGGAAAATTTATTGGACCAGTTGAACAATCTCCTTCTAAATCATATTAGGGAGAAGATCGTTCACTTGGTTAAGAGTAATAATTTCAGCAAATCAGATTTGAGCAAAGTATATGCAGGCCTTACTGCTTCAATTTGTCATTAAATGTTAGTGAGATTGTTCACATGGGCAATTTAATGAAGGAAGTGAAGAAAATTTCTCAATTTTTTTCCGGTTGTGTCTAGCATTTTCGAGGTTGGTTTTTCAACAAATAATATGAGCCTATAATTTATTCTGACTGATTGTTTAAGTGTATCACTCATAACTAATCGTGACTGTTTTCTAAGGAGTTCGTGTAGTTTTCGCGACAAATTTTTGGTCGAAAATTTTTCCATGAACTTTTTGAAAAGTATCGTCTTGAAGTTGTTTTGATGCACTGTTTGTCGTCATGTGTAACTTAGAATGAGTATTTTTGTTCTTTGATTTTATAAAAGAAGATTTTAAACGTGAACTTAAAAATTTATTTTTCGATAACTTCCTCCATATTTCATCAATATTCACACTTGTGGCTAATGTGGATCATCAGGAATAATCAGGATCTATGGATCTTTATAGAATCAGAAAGAAAGAAAAAAAAACAAAAAATAGACCGTGTTTTCTTCACTAATTTAAACAATGAGCTTCACCTGAAAAGACTAGTTTTTTTATCTATTAAATGGCGTAAAACTATTGTATAGTTTGCCTAAATTTATGTATTTTTTTTACCAATGTTACAATGGCCGATCAGTTTAGTCCAAAAAGCGGAATTTTCGTTCGACGCTGAGAGTTTTGTGATCGGTTGAACCCCTCATGATGGAGTGACTGAATGTTGGGAAAATAATATCAGCCAATCAGAATTCAGTCTTCAAAAGAAAAGGCGAGTTCTTAAAAGAAAGGAAAAACTTCACAATTGGCTCAAATCTGGTAGTACTTAATTTTTTTTCAAACGAGAAGTAGTCAGTTTCCGAAAAAAATTATCGGCTTATTATTTTCTGCTTATATTTCGTCGGCTTAGTTGCCACATTGTAGAAAAGTTGTTTTTTTAACTTAAACCTTTAGGTTTACCTCTGCTCTTTGTAATTTTACTGTACTGACCTTGACTTCGTTTGTTTTTTTTCGCTTAAAAACTTTATTCTGCCGAAATGATTTCGGCCTATTTTTTATCGGCGTTTTGACCTAACTTTGAGTCGTCTTAACGGAAGCATATTTTTATGCTCACCTCTGGATCGCTTAAAATGCTTAAAGAATATATATAGTTCAAGGATATCATGACAACAAGTTCTTCCGCTTTTTTTCAGCTTGATAGGTTTCGGCCCACATTATATTGGCTTATTGGCCTCTTACTGCGTCTTCCGACGAGCTTGTGTTTGTGAAAAAGTTTGTGTTAGCGTGTCTGTGTTTTGAAGGTGAGGGGGACTTAATAACTTCTTAACTAGTCTTAAATTTTTTTGAATTTTTTGAGGTCAATAGGTTTCAGCCTGTATTACATCGGCTTCGTGGCCTCATAGTGTATAGTTTGCCGAGCAAATAAGATTTTTGAGTGTTTGTGTGTTCTGAGGTTGAGGGGGACTTGTTGTTTTTTTCGGCTTAAAGTCGCTGAAAAGATAATTTCGGCTGTGTTACTGCTAGGTACATAATCGTCCGATGATTATTTCACATTCTGGCATGCATGTTTTTAATTCAAAATACTGACATGGCGATGCTGTTTCCAGCTAGAGGAGTTGACCATGGCTCAGTAACTATAATTAAGTTAAATTTGAATGATAAGAACTTAGCCAATTTTGTCTTGTGAAGTTTTAATAGAAATGACTATCCACCGAACTGTTTTTGAAAAAGCCTGTCGGCTATCGGCGCGAGTTGCCGTACTCGTAGCGAGCCCACTGCTAGGCCACCTAGAGTAATTTTGTTTGCTGTCTGTTAATTTTTATTTTGGTCTTCTGTATAAAGCTTTCAACGAATAGATCTTTATATTTTTCTATATTTCTGATTGGTTGAAATTTTTCCATCTCTCTGACTATTCGAATCGAGGCTAGCCATCGAAAACTGATTGAACGCTAACTCCATTAGCACTCCGCTTAACTATTTTCATCTAAAAATTGTTCAATTTTATCAAGCGAATTGTTATCGTTAACATCATCTGAGATGTGTTATTTTCTAAATTTCTAATTTCTTCGCCAAGAATACCTGGATATGTTTCAGTGTGATATTTGCCTTTTTCCTGAGTGACTGTCAGCAGCGTATGCTGAGCTCTGACAGTCCAACTTTATTCAAATCAATGAGAACTTTTTAGAACAACTTCAAAGCCTTGAAAAAATGCTGATCGAATCTGCATGTTTTGTTGAAAAAAAATATTTTCTTCTTTTTTAGCCTTCCGGTAAGGAAAGTTGTTGCAACAGGCTACAAGACTTTTTCTTGTAAAAAAGTCGGACGTGGAAACGCCACACGTGTTTCATTTGCTTAATTGTAAGTTCAAATTCATGGATCATTCATGGAGAATTTGGCGCAGTGGTAACTTTCATGCTTGAGTCGGCCTGGAGTTTGAATCCAGTCGTGACCTTTTTTGCTAATGAAAATTTTGGGATACTTCAGACAATCGTCTTGCTTGTTTTGTCGGCTTAGTTTCCGCAGAACGGACTTTTTGAAGTTTCAGCTTTTGTCTAACACTCCGAAAGCTATTTGTAAATTTGCTAATGGTGCAGGTTATTTAGCTCCTGGATTTTTCTAAATAATTTTTCTAATTTTTTAAACAAAAGAAACAGTTTTTAGTCTAATTTTTGATTTTCTGATTCATCTGCACGTAGTCAAATTTGCTGAATTTTGCATCGCAAGTAGTGCGACGCTACTCTTCGCATCTGTGTAAAATTATCAATTCAAAATGTAATGTTACGTTTTTCTGATCTAGAGTTTAGCATATTTTGAAACAAGTTTCGCGAAGTTACTGTAAAATTTTTTTAGTTGATTCAACTTACCTGTTTTTCAACTTATTTGAGTTGATATTCAGTTTTCAGAATTTTGTAACCAATGACTTGCTATTTCTCTGCCTGTAGGAATGTAATCGATGGTTTATTTCACAAGCAAAGCTTGCGTTATAGTATGAACTCTTTTTTTCCATTCTAAGTCGCAAATATTGTTTCGACGCAAATATTGTTGCGACAAAATGTGTTTATTTTGATCAATAACCAGCTATTAAGTACAGCCAATGCAGAGGATATCAACACAGACTGTTATATTACAATTAGCCCTTTAGCTTCAAGGTTTCATGGATCTGTAGCGTGGAGATAGGGAAGGAGACCCTTAACAAAATATGAGGGTTTGAACCTAGGCAGGGTCGTATTTTTTTAATGAACTTTTTCTTATACTAGCTAAAATGCGTCCGCTCTATAAATTGAGGCATGTTAGTTGGTAAATTTCTTTCTTTTTTTCAAATTTACTGGTACTGCTAATGCGTCATGATAGGCTTGCGTCACTTAGCAATTATGTCGACGCATAATTGGCGTGCGTCGCATAAGAAATTTTGTAGGCTCAAAGTTTTATTCATTCAGTCTTAAAAAATTATTTTTCCAATTAGTGTCGTTTTTTCGGATTGGTGTGATAAAGGAATCTGAGCGAAAAATTAGCGCTTAGTCATTTTCGTCTGTTATTGTAAAATCTGCAAACTGGAAAACAATTTTTGAAGACAAATAAGAAAAACAAAACAAAATCAAAAAAACTTAAATCAAAATTTAAAATTTTTGAAAATAATTTCTCAAAATTTTCTTCCCAATTTTTTGAAATTTTTGATTCCTATGATGAAGCTTAAAACTCCAAAAACTAACTTCATTTGAGCAAAACTAAATTTTCAAGGCTTAAATTAAGCAGACAAGCTAATGTAAGCCTGCTCACTCGCTCGAAGTAAGACGAAAAATCAAAATTTTCAAACCGGTTTTTCTCGACGCTGGAAAAAATTTTTGGTAATTTTTAATGTGGATTGAATCACGATTGAACGGGCTTTAATATGATATATCACTTAAGTCTGTCAGATCATTATTTGTGGTACCTGACTTTGCGCGGAAAACAAAAAAAAACATAAAACACACCCGAATACAAAGTTCCTCCCCATTTTTATTGGTCGGAACAAGAATCTCGATTAGTTGAATAAAATCTTAATGACTCTATGATTGATGTAACCACTTGGTTTCTAAATGTCGTATCCATTCGATTACTCAATGTGGGGTGAAACTGGAAGCTCGTTTTTAGCACAAGTTGTTTGCTAACTTTGTGTCATTTTCGAACAGAGGCGGATTTAGAGGAGGGGCGGATACTCGCTCATCTACCCTCAGGAATTCCACCCACTAATAATCGAAAGGGGTGCATTTTTTATCCATTTTAATCTGACCGACTCCAAATTTATTTTTCGCTTCATTATATAATTATTTTGAGGTGAGCGCGATTTTTTGGTCAAAACCTTTCAAAAAGTGAGCAAGAACGGCATTTTATAATTACAGAAGCCTCAGAATTACCTCATGCCTTTTCAGATTGATCTGGTTGATGCCTTCGGTGTTGAGTCGACTCCTCCTGGCACCCGACCGGCTGTTCTCTGTTCCAGGCAGTCCAGCTGTGCCAATTGTGGAGCCATGCAGTGTCATCTCACACCCTTGGTGTCAGACGTGTCTCGAGGCCAACAAAACGGTCATACGCACTGTGCTCTATAAGTGCTTCAGGACTTACTTCACTCTCTACCTGGTCTATCTCTTATGCACTTTTTGTCCAATTTCTTGTTTTTTAATCCGACCGCTGAAAATGGGAACCACCTTGTCTTCGGATGTGTTTTTTTTTCAAGTTTTCTTTCCATCAGGTATCACTAAAAAATCATCGAAATCGGCCGAGTGATATATCACATTAAATTCCTTTCAATCGTGAATCAAACGGAAATGAAAAATTTCCAATTTTTTTTTTACCAGTTTCGAGAAAAACCGTTTTCAAATTTTTTTTCGTTTGCGAGAGCAAGTGTACTTGTAATCAAGAACTAGAATGTTTTCCCTGTAAAATGTTTCTCATAAATCTAGAAGAAATAAGTGCAGTTATTGCAGTTACTTTCACGTGCCGGCTGACGTGTGCTCAATCTCTTAATAAAACTATCGTTTAGTTTTTTTGAATCACAATAATGTTGATAGTTTGTCGTTTTCGTCCTAATTTCTGTCGGCTCAATTTCCGTGTTTTTTTTTCAAATGCAATTTTTCAAATCTGTTAGGCTTTTTTTCAGCAGTTTTCAATATAAAGTTTGGGTTTTAATTTGATTTAGATTTTTGCTATACCTGAAAGTTGTCTGTAATTCGTAAATTAACCGTTTTTTATTCTTTTTTTCGATTCAACGGTTTCAGTTTATGTTATATCGGTTTTGTCAGCGTATATTGCGTAATTTTAAGGGCATAATTTGTAATGCTCTTGTTTGCTTAAGTAAGAATGGAGTGTTACCCTTGCGATAAGCAAGGGTATTGCAAGATAAGCAAGGGTATTGCAATCGGGTAGTAGACTTTTTTCCCGTGACCTACTTTGTTCACAGGACTCATCTAGGCGAGGTCACGAATATGCCTGGGACTGCTTAGGTCCTGGGTTCGAATCTGACCAGAAACTGTTTTTTTTTTTCAAACGGGAAATATTCTGTTTCAAATAAAATTTTCGGCCAAATATTTGTCTGTTGTGGGCTCAATTGACACATCTTAGAATCGTTTTTTATTAGCTGCGCGCATTTTTCTGTAATGTTGCGTTTAGTGTTTAGTTTGCGCCTACAATGTGTAATTTTACTTACCTTGACTTCGTATTCCCTTCTTTTTTTGTCTCGTCAAAAAAGATTCCTCTGCCCAAATTTTTTCGGCCCTTTTTTCATCGGCTTAATGACCTAATTTGGGTCGTTTTAAGCGAAACACGATTTTAAATCTTCCCTGCGCACGTTTCAAGTTGGTTGAATGTTTCGGTTTGATGCAATTTCATTTTTTTTTGTTTCGGAATTTTTTTCGTTTTTCTCAAAAACTGCTACTGATTTTCGAAAAAATGGGTATCAATTATAAGACCGCCCACTCCGATGTCTGCCTGCATACTCCCCTAGATTTTTTTTACTTGTCTCCTCTTTCTAAGGCCTTCGAAAAGATGTTAATTCCCAAAACCTTTTGGAAGGTCGTAGATAGAGGGGTTAAGTAAAAAAAGACTCTGGGGGAGTATGCAGGAACACCAGGGTGTGGGCGGTCTGAACCAAATTGTAGGCGGTCTGACCTAAATTTCGATTTTTTTTGTTTTCTCGAAATCTACCGCTCTCAAATGTGAGTTTCAATGATTAGAACTGTTTGGAAAATTTCCCTGCCTAAGTGGCTCAAACGCCCAATTTTTTTTTCATTTTTTTACAGGTAAATTTGTGAATCTTTTCGACTTTTCTCGAACAATAAACTCTCAAATCTGATATTGTGGGTTCAATAGTGATAGTAAGTAGTGGAAAGCTCTTCTGCATTAGCGGGTACTGGCAAAAACTTTTACACAAAAAGTTATCGCCCTCGGAAAAGTCTAATTTTTGATTTTTTTAACGTTTTTCAACTTTTTGAATATTCTCGAAAACTAATCTGCCATATATGAGATTCTGGTTTCATTTCTCGGAACGGGTTGTGGTAAGATCATTTGCTTAAGCGACTACGCCCAAATTGTTTTGATACCAAATGTTTTGGCCTTCGGAAAAGTAAAATATTTGATTTTTTTTTGGCATTTTATTGAAAATTTATCTCGAAAACTACCCGCCCAAAGTCTAATCGAATGAACATGTTGTTGAAAGCTACCTTTATAGTTGGCTTTGCCCAGTTTCTTTAGGAAAAAAGTTATGGCCTTCAAACAAGTCAAAGATTCGAAACTGACAGTTTGTTGGAAACCTATTGACTTTACGCGAAAACTACCGGGCCAATACTCAGGTTGCTCAATCGCGAAGCCGGTTTTGGAATTTTCTCTGCTTAAGCGGCCATCAGCTGCTTTTTGCAGAGAAGTGATTCGGATTTTGGAAAGTCTTTGACCATTTTTTAGAAACTTTTTGAATTTTCTTAAAATTTACATAATCAAATCTGAAATGAAAAGTTCATTTGAACCGGTTGCCATGATTGATCCAGCAGAAGTGGCGATTCCTTAATTTTTTTGAAAGACTAATATTATTTTCTTGAGAAAATTGAATATTTGAAAGTTTTTTAATCTTCTCACGTATTCTAATAGAGAAATAACCAAGGTTTTAGGCTCAGCCAACTTTTGAACTCACACGTTTCGCGCCGCATCAGTATAGCAAATTCATTCAATATGCAACACGTACCTCCAGCTTTAGCCGGGCACATAGTTGTTTTTATCGAGACATACGAAATTTTTGGTTCACCCAGTTTTTTAAAGATCTAAACGTTTTTTCGACTTATGTTTTTTTTCATGTTTGTGTTATATCAAACTTATACTTTTAAAGTTGATTTTTTAACTAGTTTTATTTTCAGCTTATTGTGGTTCGACACATTTTTTGTCGTCATAGTTTTCCCTGGGTAAATGTTTCTCGATGTTTTTTTAAGGCTGATCAGGAAAGTCAACGAGTACCAAAGATTCAAAATTTTCGTAAATATGGGGTTTTGTCTTTTATTCACGTAATTTTTTAACTTGCTGGTTTGAACTTTGGTCTAGTTTTTTCTAGTTTAAAGCGAGCAAGCAGGTTTATCATAAAACAATGTACGTTTTTTTATCGCTTCAACTTAAACTTTATTTTGCCCCGATAAAATTCATTTTGAAGTTCTGCACGCTTTCTTGAGAATTAAACATTTTTGAAAGTTTTGAGAAAATTATCGGGATTTTCTTTGCGTTTGTATTCATTTTTCGTTTAACGTTGTTGTTGTTGTTGATTATGCCTAAATCACTATTTTTTTTAATCGAAAATGCCATTACAAACAGCCATACTGAGAAAATGACTGCTTAGAGTTTTATAACCCGCGAGTTATCAGGGCTGCATTGAACACTTTGACCTCAAATGATTTATGTTTCCTTATTGAATCTTGAGCTTGAATCGACTAGGACCTATTGAATTGATCACGTCTTTAGATGGTTCATGACCTAAGTCAAACAGTATTGAGTGAAATTTTATTTTGAACGAATCATGTTCCTTGACAAATCAAGATTGCAAATGAATCAAAACCTTACAATGATATCAGCCAAATTCAATTTTGAAAATTACCATTGTTTTTATCTCAAGGTTGAATCCTTTAAATGGACAAAAATTGGATTGAAACTATAGGGCTACCATAGCTTAAAGTGACCGAGCGATCGAACGCATTGTGACTATTCATCAGGGGTGTTCAAAATTGCATTGCAATTAAAATAATTGCAATTAAATTAATTGATTGTTTAACGTCTCCAATTACAATTAATTGATGGATAATACCAAATTGGTGTTTTTATCTGGGGCGCATTTAGGGATTCGACCCCCTCATAAACCAAAAAGTCCACACGTCGGTTTTTTTGACATTCATTTTCGGCCGACCAACTGACATTTTCTAGAGGCGCCTTTGGCGCCAATATATAATAAATTTGAAAGGAAGCGTGCGGCGAAAAAACGCGATTTTTCGGTCAGCATTTTCTAAAAAATGCCCACGTGACCGAACAACAGGTTTTGAGACGAAAAGGTGGTATCTGGGCTCTGCTGAACTGATTTTGTGACTTGGCAATTAATTGCAATTAATTGATTGTTTCTTTTGCAATATTAATTTAATTGATTGTTTTGAAATAATTGATTTTTCGGCTCTTTTCCAGTCCCCCCCCCCCTTCAAAATACCGAGTTTTATGTTTGTTTTACGTGTTATTACGTCGCTAAATGGGTCATATACTTAGCCTTCGACGTAAAGGCCTCTGTCGCGCTTTGTACCATTGTGATAAATAAATAACAATAAGACCATTGTAAAGAGAAGTAATTGTGTGAACATGAACATGAATGTTTGTCAAGCCAGTTTGTGAATTAATGAAAATGCAATCACCGTGCTAGCTTTGAATAGCACGTTGAGTTTGATGTGTTTAAGGTCCTGTGGCCCAATGGATAAGGCATCTGACTACGAATCAGGGGATTGCAGGTTCGAGTCCTGCCAGGATCGAGTATTTTCTTTTGAATTCAATTTTATGTTTTAGGTTAGTGGATTAATTCGACTGAAAAAATGGCCTTACTGGAGACAAAATTTTTGGAAAGACGTATTCAGATCTACTTTTATGCTCATGTCAAACGGCTGTGCTGTCTTCTGCCTTAACTGCTGCTCGAGGTACCGAAATGTCATTTAAATTTAAAAGAAAGTTAGCTTTGCTTAAATTATTCTTTTCATAGTAAAGCGTTTTATGATTGACTGCGTGCTAAAAGAAATAATTATATATTGGAACTATCGTAGTTTAACTGAAAGAAAAAGAAATCTTACTATTATCGGAAGTGGTGAGAAAATATTAGCATCAATGTGTGACTGAAAAGCAATCTTGTATTTGTATTATTGGCGAGGACCAATAGGTAGGTCACGCAGGTATCGAAGGGAAGTGATGAATGTTGCCTTCACTACTTGATGCGTGAGCACACCGTTCTCCTGTTACGACTTATGGTGTTCCAACAGCTGATCCCACGAATACCTGTGTCTTCATGAAACAAGAATTAAATAATACATTGAAGTTTACCAGATTGTTCAACCAGAATTTCGTTACTAGCTACAAAAATCTACTTGGCTGACAAAGTCGTTTTGTTTTTTCTTTAAGAAAGTTAATAAAACCAGATATAACTAGTGTTACTTACCCGGCGGTTTTTCGATACTGTGATCAGGGGCGGATCTCAAATTTTTTTTTAAAAAAATCGAATTTTTAGTCGAAATTTTTTAACGTCGACCAAATTGATTTCTGAGCTCTCCTAAATCACTATTTGTCCAACAGGCACATTTTTGAAAAACCGGCCAAAAAGCGTTTTTAGGGACCAAGTTAACATTTAAATTGAACGGTGGGGCAGAGGATCTTAACTTGGTCTATTTGATGGGGAGGATGTCAACTTGAACAAACTCTTGACCAAAAAATAGCTTGGCGCGTGCTCCACCACAAAATTAATACATATTGGCGCCGTAGAGTCCTTAATGTTAATTTATGAATTTTAAATTGGGGGGCCCCGGCTAGGGCATTAAAAGAAAAACTAATTCTAATGTTTTTGATGATGTTCTTTCTTCAGGAACCTGTTTGGGATGATGACGCCGACTCTGTTGCGCCTGGTGATTCTAATGGGGAGCTCAATGGCCATCTTTTTCGAGCGACAATCCCGCCGATACATCCTCGCATTCTTCATGGGATCCAATGTAAATACTGTGCTGCGAGGGAGGGCGATTTAAACTAATATGGACACCTTATTTTGAGCCTTTGAACAAAAAACACAATCCAGGGTTCTAAATTCAAAAAATAACTTTTTAAATTTTCTGATATTTACTAAGAATCTCCGCCCCTATAATTAAAACAGTAAATTAGCACTAGAGCTTTCTACTTAATTCTAATTTTGCTGTATTCTGATTGGTCTAAAGTTTGACTAACTTTATCTCTGAACAATTTCCCTTCCTCTTTCTTGCAGCAAACAACAATTTTTCTGTTTGAGGAGGGGGGAGTTTCGTTAACATGGTCCAAACATTTGGCTTTTTTCCATTCACTCTAGCAAATTATAGAACCCTCGACGTACAAAAGTCAATGCCGGGCGGGTAGGAGGTTGAAGTGGGAATTGGTTATTAGACCTCTCAATCGACAGGTTGGTGGTTCGAGACCCACCCACCATAATGAGTGCTCGTTACTTGAGAGTGAAGCAGTTTAATGCTGGTCAGAAAAATAACCAAAAACACGCACGCAGGTCCTAATTAAAAGGCACAGCGGCTTTCCGTTAAATGTTGAACACCTTGTTTATTGGTGCTCTTTTTGCAGGCTGTGGAGTGTGTGTATAACCGGATGGTGGAATCTAAACAGATCAGATCAATTAAACACTTCGACACTCTCATGTTCGTAGCTGCCAGTGCAATCATGGGATGCTTCTTCAAGTAAGAAGAATTGAATAAAAGGGATGTCAATACTAACCAACTCCACCCTCCGACACCACAGAACTTGACCTTTTTTCGACCAACTTTTTTTGGCAAATTTACGAACCAATTTTTTTGGAATACTTGGCAGTTTTACGACATTCAATTTTGGGCGAGCAACCACAAAGTACTTTTGATTGAATATGAATGCTTTTAGTCAAAAGAGTCCTGAAGAGCAATCGAAACGGCTTGTCAAGTCTCAGTAGTACCTTTCTATTGTTATTTGCAGGGGGGGGGGGGGGGGGGGGGGAGGGCGGACGCCTTCCCCATCTCAAGGATTCGACCCCCTGCCGACACAAAGGGTCCCTTTTTGACCAGTTTTTTCAAAAGTTTCTAGGTGAGCTCGGAAAATCAGTTTGGTCAACCTAAAAAAAGGTCCTCATAATTTTCCAAAATTTTTTGAAAATCCCCCCCCCCCTCGAGAAAATCCTAGATGCGCCTCTGGTTATGAGGACCATTGACTTTTTGAAAGGATCATTTGGGTAATATAAATCAATAGGTAATTTTGGACTTGATAATTTGTTTTTTTAGAAGTGAAGATGACGAAATGAAGAGAGTATCTTCCGATATTGTCAAGCCCCTATCGTTAGTATCTCCGGGTCAATAACCTTTTTTTGACACGAAGTACTATTTCTGATATTTATTTATTGTTTTTTTTTGTTATCCCGTATAGGGTCATTTTTGGCAACTACGAAAGCGAGACGTCAACTGAGATACCAACTGACTCAACTGGAATCTCGGAAAGTTTTAGTCCAAGAACTTCATTGACACGGCGTTCCGATGTCTTGGATTCCTTCTTTAAAACAGAAATAATGCGGAAGCTGAATATTAGAATTACAAGGTTAGCTGAGTGATCATTCAACCTAAATTATAAGTTCCTAGTCACTTTGCGAATTGCATAAACATTAATACGGCCAACTTCAGAATGTGTTTTTTTTGAGACTACGTGTAATGGTTGGCTCGGTTAAAATTCACAGATGACACTATTGCATTCAAAGTAAACTATGATGACTTAGTTTTGGGTAAAACCATTCTTATTGGTTCATTTGCACGCAAAATCATGTTTGATCAGGGGCGGATTAAGGAGTGATGCCCCCCCCCCCACTCAGGGATTCGACGCTCTGGCTACTCAATTTTCGATTTTTTTTTCGAAAATCCGCCCCCCCCTTCGAGCAAATCCTAGATCCGCCTCTGTTATTGGTGGCAGTTTGGTTGCTTTGCACTGTTGAGCCAAAAAGTTCGAACTATTTGGTCAATTAAATTATTTTTGTATAAAATTTGTGGGATTTGATTGGCCTGAAAGCGAAACTTTTACGCCCAAAGCTTTTATCACACCATTGTAGGGGTCAGCGTTACCGAATCTTGTTTACTATCCTTCCTCTCTGGAGCGAATTCCCAGCCGCCTATCAAGAAAGTTTGAACATTTAAACAAATGCGAGTTTTTAACCTTGTAACAAATCCCCCCTTGCCGTTGCAGGAAAACTTTTAACAAGATCCGCGCAGCCTTGCGTTATTCAAAAAGATTAAATCAGAAATAATTAATATGTGACACTAGTTCTCACTTTGACACAATACTGATGTAGGTTCTTCACTTCTAAATGTGCCCATAGAAGCAAAATCTGTCTTCATCCTCAGCCCTGCCTTCAATACATCACTTATGTTAGTATCTGTTTTGTGCTACTGAACGTGTAGCGACTGTAGCTCATTAATTCGTGCAGTTTACACGGCCTTTTTTTGAATTTTACTGGTTTGAATTTCGTTTTCCAAGCTCAATACATTCGTTTTAAACTTTTGTAATTATTTTATCTTGTCTTATTTTATCGTATCTCACTGTGTAATTTTATTTAAAAAATATTTTTTATTTCAAGTGATGATAATTTATAAATAAATAATTATGAATAAAAAGCTCAGAACACCAATTGCAAGAACACCAATAAGGTCAGCTAGCCACTCGGTAGTCAGCTAACTGGCCTTTTTGGCGTTTTTCCAAACTGTGATTCTTAAAAATAACTATTTGTAAATTGTCAGCAAGTTTTTCCTTTCTTAAAAACGAATTCATTATCATTATTACAATTGAGAGCGTTAGAGTAATAGTACGAACCTTCTTTTTTGTAGCTTAACTCGCAAATAAAAGTGTTCATTTGGTGGCACTTTTGCTATAATCACGATGTGTAGCATTGGAAATTTCATAGCATCTGTTCTCTGCTTTACTTTTGGCTAGTGTTTGTGATTTATTAAGCGTCCGAGGCTGAGTGGTTAGTGTGTGAGTCTCATATTCTTTAGGTCGCTGGATTGAATCCGACACGTGGCCGAATTTATATTAATTCGAGGCTTATTTCGAATTTTTCTTATTTTCTTTATAGAGCTGCTTTTTGTCGTGTTCTGACTAGTGTCTGCGAAGCGCAGCTTCGCCTCTGTGCCATTATTAAATCACTAGCGAGCGTAGAGTATCAATATGAATCATGGTTTCTCAAATCTAACTCGCAAGTAGTAGAAATCATTTGGTGGTATTTTTGCTATAATCACGATCTTTAGCATAGGAAATTTCATAGCATGTGTTCTCTGCTTTATTTTTGGCTAGTGTTTGTGGTTTATTAAGCGTCCAAGGCTGAGTGGTTAGTGTGTGAGTCTCATATTCTTTAGTTCGCTGGATTGAATCCGACACAAGGCCGAATTTATATTAATTCGAGACTTATTTCGACTTTTTCTTATTTTCTTTATAGAGCTGCTTTTTGTCGTGTTCTGACTAGGTTTTGCGAAGCGCAGCTTCGCCTCTGTGTCATTATTAATACACTAGCGATCGTAGAGTATTAGTATGAATCTTGGTTTTTCAAATCTAACTCGCAAATAAAAATAATCATTTGGTGGAACTGCTGCTATAATCTGTTGCGATCTGTAGGATTGGAAATTTCATAGCATCTGTTCTCTGCTTTGTTATGCTAGTGTTCACCGATCGTTAATTGACCGTGGCTGAGATTAAAGGACGTGAGATTCCAAATCTTGATGTTTCCAGGTTTGAATTCGACACGTACCTAAAGTTTCACTAATTTGAGGCTTATTTCTTTTTCTTGTGTCACTTTATAGTGCTGCTTTTTTGCCGTTTTCTTGCTAGTGTTTGCGAAGCGCAGTTTCGTCTTTGTGTTTGTCATTAAAAACAAAGTGGCTGAAAAAATTGGTTGCCAAGTTGGTTACTTTTTAAAACTTGTGATCTCAAGTACATTTTAATCGGGAACTTGGTTTTTCTATTTTTATGGGAAAAAAGTTACTAATTCAATTCGTTTCCTGGAAGTGATCTGATCTCTTTTTTTTCAATAATGGCATTCTTTTTGACCAGGAAAACATCAGCGGTTCTCCCTGATGAGCTGAGCAGCTCCTATGTTGTTGTTGTTATAGTTGTTGTTGCTGTTGTTGTTTACTGGGAATCCCGTTACAGATTGGGAGAGCGTAAGTGCCCAGTGCAGCAAAGGTATTCCAAGACTTTGTTTGTTTGTTCTTGCAGGACTTTGTAGCCAGGATTCGGACTAAAGACTTCATTTCTGATATTCAGCCGGGCTGTACAGATGAAAAGAAAGTGCTCTGATGTTTTTGGTGCTAGTTCGCAGTTCGGGCATGTGTCACTTTGAGCTCCTATGTCGTTTTCTCCCTCCTGATTGCAGGTCGCTTCCGAAATGAAATCTGTTGGGAGATGCCTTCACTATTGAAGTAGAACTACTTTTGAGCATGACAATACCATATGCATGGATTCAAACATTAATCCAAAGATACAGTCCCAAGTTACACAGTCCTTAAAATCCGATCCAACCGAAGCTTTACGTTGAGTTACTGAAGACCCATATTTAACAGTTTCGGAAGATTCAATGGAAATCACGCGGATATTCGTAGATTTGCCGGATCATTTGTCGCACGTATTATCAGAACTCCCAGATAACCAAGTTACCTTACTTCGAGTTGAAAACTGACACGGAAATAAAATTACCGTGCAATATGAATCGCATGAGCGATTGATCTCTAAATTAGGCTCCTGAAACCAACTTAGTGGAAAACATGGAATCGTATGTCTCACTCAAGTTTGCGCTGATGCTGAGCATGAGCTGGATGCTGAGCATGCTTTCTACCTATATCATTGTTTTGCCATCTTCAGCAGACCCAAAGAAGCAACATTTTTGAAGTCATCAGATGTACAGATAGCTCTCAAGCCAGTTCTATTCGTTGCAGCTGTTGGCAAAATTAATTCAGAATCGGAGGATGCAAAATTGGGGAAACTTTATGGTGGTGCACAAATTGAAATTAATGCATCAATTTCAAAAACATAAAAAGCAACCATAAATCACGATGCTTGTCTTTCTGTGCATCAATTAGAACCACCAACCAGCGAGATAGTGAACAAGAGGATACTCAAATCTAGCGAGATTAAACTGGAAAGTTTTAACCAGTTCAACTGAATTACATGTTCTTTTTTTGTCAATGACTGATCACTGCTTTTGCTAAATCATGACTTTGGCTATGTAGCTTTATCAAGTTTAATGACTCAATGTATTATTAGTTTAAGTACAGTTGCGGGATAATAATGAAATTTTTTATCTAGTTTTACCTTGATGCTTTGTAATGTTTGTATCGAAATCGTTGCTAAAGTTCCTTAAAAAAGTTTTCGAGAAATAAATCATCAGTTTCTAGTTAATAAATCAATTGCGGTTTCTTCTTGGTGCATTATCCTAAATCTCAAGTCGCCACGGCAGAATATTCTGGAAAGTTTTTGCGACAATTTTGAACTGACGCAAGTGAACTTTTTGATATTTTGGGCTGCTTTTGGGTCGGTTTCGGGCCACAACATGAATTTTTTTGAAGAACTTAAAAGCGTTTGTTTGCTAAATGTATTTGTCAAATAGAAACAAAAACAGCCCGCTCGCTCGTAGAAGACAGCCAAAATTTAGTGACGAAATCGTTTGATTAGTAATTGATAATGAAAACTCAGTTTATTGAAAAAACATCAGCTGAAGGTCAGGAAACAGCATGTTCCAAGCATCTCCCAGTGAAAGTTTTTCAAACCGCTTAGGCAATAAAACTGACAACATCCGTCTAAAAAATGTAGATTTGAAACAGTATGTCGGCATAGGTATATTCTAGTGGCTTCGTTGCAATGCTTCCTTGCTTTTGTTTTCATGAAGATATGTTAGGGTGATGAAAATGTCATAATTTTTTAATGAAAAATGTAGATTTACAACTCTGAATTTTATTTTTTTTTTAAATAAAAACGGTTTGCCTAGTGCAAATTGTTTTCCGAGTCAAATTATCAGCTAAATTGCCTTTTTGCTCGGTTTTTTGCTTTGCCTGTGTTTCAATTTCGTAAAGTGATTACAAGATTCCTGAAGTGATTAGAGGGAGAGGTTAATTTTGAAAGTTTTCGTAATAATATAACTTTTTTGTACTTGCCGCTTGCTTTAGGTTGTAATAGTGATAATTGGACGTGAATATGGAGACAAAAATGTTCACGTTACTATAGATGTTCATAAAATACAATTAATAAATATTTGAAACTTTTGAAACAGAAAAACGAAATGGCATCCTAGTTGTTTTCGTTTGGATAAATGGTTTGCATTAATGCGTGCTTCAAATAAATCGTCGCTGCTAATGGGACATTTTCTGGGATTTCAAGAGTTTTGAGGGAAATTTTTGGGTTTTTGAAAAGTTGTGTATTATCCTCGAAAGCTACAAAAAAGTTACGTGGAGCTTTTGTCAAAAAACTCTTGTTTTGGTTGTTTTGAAATATTACTTTGGTCGGTTACGTTTCAGTCTTCTTGTTTAACTGCTTTTTCCACGCAAAATCAGGTACCTCAAATAACCCTCGGAATGCTTCGAATGATATATCATATTAAAGCCCTTCAGTTGTCGAGTTTTATTCTAGTTTCGAGCAAGCTTATCATATGGCAATACGTTTTTGCTTAAGCCTTGAAAACCTAATTCTACTCCTATTCTTTTAGCGACTTTGATTATTGCTTTTTTTCGATTTATTGTTTTTATTTTCATTTTTTTCGATTTGTTTTGTTTCATGTTTTGAAGTATGCTGTTGCCAAATATGGCTAATTTAGTGTTACTATAAAACATATGCCAAAGTTCTAGGCTTTCGTTCAGATCCTCTCATCACACCACGGACAAAAAACGACACAAATTGCTGCAAAAAAGTGTATTTTAGAATTTTTATGATCATGATTGGAACTTTCTGTGCTACATGCACAAAAACCGGCTATCCTTGTGCTTTTCATTTTCATTTAAAAGAAAACTTTCAAAAATTCTTCACAAATAGTTTGGTTAATTCAGAATTGATTGCCTTGAAAATCATTTATTTAACGCCATACTATACTTTCATTCCAAATTTTTGTGGATCTCATATTTTTATCTTGCCTCAGATTTTGACAATTTTAGGGTGCTCTTCGTGGTTTATCTCTGGGATACTCAGCCTCATTTGCATTCAACATTCTACGCAATCTGTCCAAAATCACCCAGCCGAGAAAATTCATCTCGAGAGTGTTCGACAAGTACAGTGTGCAAACAGCTGTCTTTTTGTCTCTATTCGTTTCAACATTCCGAGTGAGTTAAAATTATATACACCAATACATAAGATACTGAATTATTTTTATTGTTTTACGCGTTCAAAGCTTCGCAATAGTTAGAGGGTTCTGATAACAGGCTGCAAAGTTCCACAGCCCTCTTGTGAGTTTGATTTCGTTTGTAAAAGCTCGTATTTTACAGTGGACGTAATCTTATTTGCAAATAATTGAGCGTCATGAATGCAGTTAAGACCATTATTTATGTCGCATTTTTTTCGTTCCTGTTTCGGGAAAGAAGGCTAAAATTTGTTCACGTTCAAATATGATTTTTCGCGGTTTGAGTTTTGATTTCTTTTCCAGTTCAGTTTTTTCGAAAGTCCGTATTTTTGCTGTTTTCTTGCGTCCATTGACACTCTCTTCCAACTGTCTGTGGACTCTATTGTTGTGTTTTGTTTTCATTGTCATAAATATGCTACATCAAGGTGCAATGAGTGATTATGTTGGAAAGCATTGACTGTACAGACATCTGGCATTAATTGCTCATAGAAGTTCTGTTTTTAGGCCAGCGCATGTATCCTCAGGGCCTTCCAGAAAAGAAACTCTGCTTTCGTCGGTGCCATTGCCGGTAAGTATTTTGTTTGTTTTTCATGCCGCATACGTAAGATTTAAGGAATGAAGTGAATTTTCACTGTTATAGATCATAAGGATTTTTGCATTTTTTCAGCAAGAATTTTCTTACTGCTTAATTTCTCCCTTCTTCTGCTACTTTGGAAAAAGGCAGAAAGTTGAAAAACAAAAAAAAATGTTGTTTTTAGTTTCGAAGAAAAATTCTCTGCGGCCATACTTATCCTGTTTGGAACATTTTGTGCTATTTGGTGCAGATATTTTTGCAAAATATGGCCTTTCTAGTTTTATAGCATATCAGGAAAACCCGATGGCAAGTTTTCTTAACTATTTTGAAAAACGCTCCTCTCCTGAAAATCCTAGATGCATAAATGGCTGCATGATTAATTTGTTCACATCTCAGGTTCAGTGAGCGGTTTCAGTTTTGTCTTCCTCCGAAGCTACATCATATCTCTCTACGTGTTCCTCAAATCGGCAGAAGTGCTCATCAAATACGCCATCAGAGACACGTGGATCGATAGGTTCCCCTACAAGTCAGAGATCATCTACGCTCTTTCAGTAGTGGAAACTATATTCGCGGTCAGTAAGTTTTAGTAATTTAATTAAGTCTTGGGTCGGTGAACATATTTAAATAAGGTTGTTCTACCCGAGAAATTTCTACCAGAGAAGTTTCTACCCGAGAAAGAAAAAAGGAAAGAAATAGAGGGTAGAAGTGACTGCAGGAAGAAGGTGTAAATATAACAAATTTCAACAAACCAAAAGATCCATGGGATCTAAAAAGAAAAAGTGTTATTGCTCTCCGCTTGATGAGATCTCTGAAAATGGGTCTAATCAGGGGCGGATTTAGGGGGGACCTAATGGTTTTAACGCAAAAGATGCAGATTTGTTGCTGTAAATTTTCATAAATAACTCCAACTAGATATCCTTTGGAAATTTTTTCATCATCATTATTGTTAACTGGGCGTCCAAAACGTGACCAAGTTTTCATTTAATGTCATAATTTTGGTTTAATGCCATCCTCGGGTATTCGGCGGCATGGTTGTAATCTTTACTTTTTCTTAATGATTGTTTTGTTTGTGTGATTTTCCTTCCAGCCTGTTTGATCGCATCGAAACCGTGAAAAAGTCTAAAATTCTTCCGACAGAGACTCGAAATTGGCCTAGAATTCTCTGATGGAGTCAAGCGCATTATAATATCAAAATATTTTCAATCGTCATTCCGACCTTTTCTCAGACCTCAGTATGCAGACAAATGTATATTTTGGTTTTTGTATTTTAGTTTATTGATCAGTGTTTTTGACCTTGTTGCTGCTGCTGTTTTTCTTAGACCGTTATTACGCTTGCGATTAAAAAGCGTTATCAAATAGAACCCTTGACTTTTGTCAGGTTTGCAGTTTGTCAACCGAATTACTGAATCATTTTGAGTCACTTCTGTGATGTTTCATACATCATTCATCTTTTGAGCATTTTAATTAGCCACTCTAATTTGAAATTTGTTTTTTATGTTGTAAACTCAAATTTCAAATCGTTAACTCCGATAGACCTTGCTGATATAATTCCATAGATATGAGGGGAAGATACTCTATAAAGCTTTTTGAATTTTATGTGTTTTAAGTTGATTTTATGAAAACGTGTTTTTTTCTGACTCAGCAAGCAACTGCTCAAATATTGTCGTCTGTTTCTCCGCTTTCCTAATTTTTCTCGAATGCTAATTGGCAACTGTCTTTCTTAGTTTATTTTTCTCAAAGTGAACTTTATTCAAGACAAATCGAATTCTACATGAATTTGGGTAGCGGTAGTTTCGTTTCAACATTTTATCAATTTTTATCATTGTTTTTTCTGTCGGCTGGTTTTTCATGCTACGTTTGGGCTGTATCCGAGTGGTGCGAAGCTCTGCTCTGCATCTGTGTTCAAGTTGTTGTCTCTGGCATATCCGTAATTGCATTGAAGCTTTAGTTTTTTACCTATGATGCTTTACCTATCTATGAATACACTTTCGTTATAGATTAGGCCAATTGAAATTGGGATAACTCGACCATAGTGTGCTATTGTATCTCATTTTCAGTTGCTATTTGATCAAGTTAAGATGAATTGGATATGACAAAACATACGGTTTTCGTTTTTGTTTCTTCAATGATAGCTATTTACTCCGATTATTTGTTTTTGTCGCTGGACAGAAGTGGCTCGGAGCTTTTACTAACATCTGTTTTTCCATTGATCAATTTTTATCAAAGGCGAGGAATTTATCCCAAAGGATGAGAAATTTACGATAATAGAACTGAGTTTTTTTAGAAGTCGATGAACGTAGTTCAGACTCTTATGGGGACCGGCCTATTAGCATGGTTGTTGATTAGCATGCCCTTGTAAAAGAATGTAATTCGAGTGTTCACGTTTTGCTTACTCAAATTTAAAATTTTGAACAGCGTGCACCACTCAAATTCGATTTTTTAAAAAAAAAAAAGTGAATATGGATTATTATTTCCCCTATTAAATCAAGTGGTTTTCGAAATTATTTGAACTTTTAGGCTCATTTGTTTTTCGTCTGAAAGCACACCCAGTTAAACCAACTATCGCATGCTAATAGGAACACATGCTAATCGCTACACACCCTACTCTTATATAGGTCGCGATGATTTTTTTTGTTTTTTCTTTTTCAGGAAAAGTTTTAGTTCAGGCTCAAATTTACTCTTTCGCGGTTTGATTTTTTGAATTTTTTTAGTTAAAAGGAAAAAACTCACTATCAAACAGCGAAAGTTAAAAGGCCACGAAAAACTTGATGGACTTCTAGTTTCGCGAATGAAATTTACTTTTCAAATTTCCCAGGGAAATAAACAAATTACTTATTGATCCAGTTTGCTTAATTGGTTAATATTGGTTTATATTATACCGGGTTAATATTAACAAAAACGCGCCAATCACAAATTGTTTTCGAACTTCAAAGGGCGTCCTATTTTTTCTTCGAAATTCGAAAATTGAGATTTTTTCAAAAAACAAGTCAATTTTTTTTTCTGTTTAGTTGCGTTCATTGACTCTTTTCCATCTCTTTGTTGGCTGTGTTATCAATTCTTTTCACAATTTTTAGTAATTGTTATTTTTCTCGGCTTTAATTTCAGTTCATAGTTAAACAAACGGAGTTTGTTTTGTGTTACCAGCCCGTTTGTTCCAATCCACGTTGCACTTTTCCTAGTTCCTTTTCTATTTTCAATTTTGTGTAGATTATGGTTTCTGGTTGATATTTTTTAACGGTATTAGCGAAATTGCCCTGGAATAGAAGTTATGCGGACCGATATATGATGGGGCTTGATATTTTTGTTTGAGATGCAAAAGTTTTAACTTGCTTAATCCAACTGAAAGTTCGCCTCTGTGTTTAAACTCATGTTACACTGTGACTGTAAATCCAACAACATATTAAAAAAATAGCATTGTTCTTAGACCACTGATTTTATCTGGAAAAGCATAGTTCTTAGACCACTAAATTTATCTGGAAAAAGTTTTTTAATATTCTGTCCAGTCATTAGGTTTCTATTGCATCAATTTTTCATATTTGATTTCTCACTTTTACGATGAGACTTTTACTCTTATGGGGACCAGCCTATTAGCATGGTTGTCGATTAGCATGCCCTTGTAAAAGAATGTAATTCGAGTGTTCACGTTTTGCTTACTCAAATTTAAAATTTTGAACAGCGTGTACCACTCAAATTCGATTTTTTTTTTTAAATAGTGAAAATGGAATATTATTTCCCCTATTAAATCAAGTGGTTTTAGAAATTATTTGAACTTTTTGGCTCATTTGTTTTTCGTCTGAAAGCGCACCCAGTTAAACCAACTATCGCATGCTAATAGGCACACATGCTAATCGCTACACACCCTACTCTTATATAGGTCGCGATGATTTTTTTTGTTTTTTCTTTTTCAGGAAAAGTTTTAGTTCAGGCTCAAATTTACTCTTTCGCGGTTTGATTTTTTGATTTTTTTTTAGTTAAAAGGAAAAAAACTCACTATCAAACAGCGAAAGTTAAAAGGCCCCGAAAAACTTGATCGACTTCTAGTTTCGCGAATGGAATTTACTTTTCAAATTTCCCAGGGAAGTAAACAAATTTTTTATTGGTCCAGTTTGCTTAATTGGGCAATATTGGTTTATTTTATACCGGGTTACTATTAACAAAAACGTGCCGATCACAAATTGTTTTCGAACTTCAAAGGGCGTATTTTTTTTTCTTCGAAATTCGAAAACAGATTTTTTCAAAAAAAAACAAGTCAATTTTTTTTTCTTTTTTGTTGCGTTCATTGACTCTTTTCCATCTCTTTGTTGGCTGTCTTATCAATTCTTTTCACAATTTTTTAGTATTTGTTATTTTTCACGGCTTTAATTTCAGTTCATAGTTTAACAAACGGAGTTTGTTTTGTCTTACCAGCCCGTTTGTTCCAATCCACGTTGCACTTTTCGCTGTTCATTTTCAATTTTGTGGAGATTATAGTTTCTGGTTGATTTTTTTAAACGGTATTAGCTAAATTGCCCTGGAGCAGAAGTTTTGCGGACCGATATATGATGGGGCTTGATATTTTTGTTTGAGATGCAAAAGTTTTAACTTGCTTAATCCAAGTGAAAGTTCGCCTCTGTGTTTAAACTCATCATACACTATGACTGTAAATCCAACAACTTATTAGAAAAATAGCATAGTTCTTAGACCACTGAATTTATCTGGAAAAGCATATTTTTTAGACCTTTGAATTTATCTGGAAAAAGTTTTTTTAATAATATGTCCAGTCATTAGGTTTCTATTGCATCAGTTTTTCATTTTTGATTTCTCACTTTTACGATTAGACTTTTACTCTTATGGGGACCGGCCTATTAGCATGGTTGTCGATTAGCATGCCCATGTAAAATAATGTAATTCGAGGGTTCACGTTTTGTTTACTCAAATTTAAAATGTTGAACAGCGTGTACCACTCAAATTCGATTGTTTTTTTTTTGAAAAAGTGAAAATGGAATATTATTTCCCTATTAAATCAAGTGGTTTTCGAAATTATTTGAACTTTAAGGCTCATTTGCTTTTCGTCTGAAAGCACACCCAGTTAAACCAACTATCGCATGCTAATAGGCACACATGCTAATCGCTACACACCCTACTCCTATATAGGTCGCGATGATTTTTTTTGTTTTTCAGGAAAAGTTTTAGTTCAGGCTCAAATTTACTCTTTCGCGGTTTGATTTTTTGAGTTATTTTTAGTTAAAAGGAAAAAACTCACTATCAAACAGCGAAAGTTAAAAGGCCCCGAATAACTTGATCGACTTCTAGTTTCGCGAATGGAATTTACTTCTCAAATTTCCCAGGGAAGTAAACAAATTACTTATTGATCCAGTTTGCTTAATTGGTTTATATTATACCGGGTTAAAATTAACAAAAACGTGCCGATCACAAATTGTTTTCGAACTTCAAAGGGCGTCTTATTTTTTATTCGAAAACTGAGATTTTTTCAAAAAACAAGTCAATTTTTTTCTGTTTAGTTGCGTTCATTGACTCTTTTCCATCTCTTTGTTGGCTGTGTTATCAATTCTTTTCACAATTTTTAGTAATTGTTATTTTTCACGGCTTTAATTTCAGTTCATACTTAAACAAACGGAGTTTGTTTTGTGTTACCAGCCCGTTTGTTCAAATCCACGTTGCACTTTTCGCTGTTCATTTTCTATTTTCAATTTTGTGTAGATTATAGTTTCTGGTTGATAATTTTTTTAACGGTATTAGCGAAATTGCCCTGGAGCAGAAGTTTCGCGGACCAATATATGATGGGGCTTGATATTTTTGTTTGAGATGCAAAAGTTTTAACTTGCTTAATCCAAGTGAAAGTTCGCCTCTGTGTTTAAACTCATGTTGCACTATGACTGTAACTCCAACAACATATTAGAAAAATAGCATAGTTCTTAGACCACTGAATTTATCTGGAAAAGCATAGTTCTTAGACCACTGAATTTATCTGGAAAAAGTTTTATTAATAATGTGTCCAGTCATTAAGTTTCCATTGCATCAGTTTTTCATATTTGATTTCTCACATTCACTCACTTTTACGACGAGACTTAAAGTCACAGAATGATTTCATTTACTTTTGGCTATGAAATCCGCGCGACCAGAAATCAACACTGTTGTTGCACATAAATCAACTTTAAGTTGACATGTTACAAAGTTTCGAATTTGATTTGCATTTGAATTTTGATTTGTGTCATTGCTATTTTTCTTTGAATCCCTCGGAAGTTTACCTAAATGTATCGTATATTGAAAACGCAGGTTTTGAAAGCGTAACTAGCCGAGAACTATACTTCGGAAATCGTTCTAACAGTTTTGCAAGATGCGCAGAAGGGAGTTATACAAGATCGTGGAAAAAAATAAAACTCAAGTTAATTTATCTGTACTACTACTTTAAAAACAGCATTTACATCATCAGAACAAAAGAATGTTGTTAAATGCCGACACGGAAATATTTCCTTTTCATACGGAAAACGTTACGCACATGTGTAAGCGCATAAATAATTATAATTTAAGCCAATATTGAAAGAAAATAGGAAACTATTTGACAAAACTATTGACAATTCCAAATTTTTCTTCAAGATGTTTCTCATCTTTTTGCTATCTGGGGAAAGTTTTTGTACTGAAAAGTCTCCGCTTTGCATCTGCAAGTCTTCACTTTTTCCACGATTACTGTCCGTTTTGCGAATGGAGACGTGAAACACTTTAAGGAAACTGCAATTCTCTGAGATTTCACGGGTTTGCAGGCTGAACAGGTTTTGAACCTGAGCTGGTTTTGACTTCCGTCCAACGGGACGTAAAAAGAATTGCACCGGCCGTAGCAGAATCTATTTTTAATCACTTTTTGTTCACATCCGGGTAGAGAAACGGTCTGATTAAACATTTTAGCCCGACAGTTTTCTTTGTCGATAGTTTTAATACGACCCAAAATGGCAAGGTTCTCGCTGGAAAGTTGGTTCAGATAATTCTCGCTGTAGCTTTCAATAACCTCTCGGTTTTCCGAAACTCCCATTGGCGATGGATCATCATAGAACGACTTTTGCGTGCCGTAGTTTCTGGGATTCTTCGGGTTTGTATACATAGGGTACCGTTTGTTGTTTCGGTTTTCATGTTTTTTATTTTCATCGTTACCGTTTTTGTCGTCTTCGAACTGCAAATTGTCAAAAAGAGTCTTTGACTGTTTTCTGAATAACTCGGACGAAGTATCTACAGTGCTGAAATCGGAACTTGTAGTTGAAGTAATGTTCACTGGTTTGGCTTTTGAGTATTCGCTGCTCCAGTAAGATGGCACAACTTTTCGGGAAAACCCAAAATCTTGATGAGACGTATCTTTCGAAGCATCCATGTCATATATAAAGTCTCGTTTCTCGACCCAGTTTTCGACCTGTAGTGAAGTTCGGTTGAAAGCTTTTCCTTCTGCGCATCTGTATGTAATACTAGATACAGATATTAGAACAAAGTATGCTATCAACAATCTGGATGAAATACTTTCGCGAGTATTTGGATTATTTGAAGAAGGCATTTTATACGGGTTTAAATTGAAATGAATTAGAGTGAATTATGAATGAAAGTTAGAAGAAATAATCTCAGAAGATTTCGCAGAATTGTGACGCAAATGCAATGTAAGGTATAGATCAAACTTGTGGTTTAGTCTGTTCAATTCCGCTAAAAAAGGACAAAACTTTACTTTTTGGCGACAAAAAGTTTAAAAACAGCTGAATGTTTTGATTGCTTTCTAGTAAGTCCAAAAATGGTGGCCGAGTTTCAGTCTTTGTTCGTTTATTTTGAAGAAATGTCTCAAAGTGTCTTGTAAGGTAGTAGTGAAGCCAAACAATATAATCTCCGGTAGATCTGGGTCTGAATGTAGCCTGCCAGAAGAGTGAGAATGGAATGGGGCTAATGTGATTATGAGACTAAGTGACTGGGCGGTCGGGTGGTATTAATTAGTCCTAATTGGCAGCGGTGTAAACAGTTGATCCCTGAGTCGCTTATTTGCCAGAGTGAGGCTCGTAGTTGTTTGGGTTGGAGCCTTGTTGGTAGGTGGGTAATATTCAGTGTTATGTCGGTACGCCGGTCGGCCGGGGTTGTTTGGTTGAGGAGAGGTGTTTGTTTTGTGAGGTAGAATTGCCTATTTTCTATTTATTTGCGATCGTTGATTGGATTCTGCCGAGTTGGAGAGAGTGGCTTGAATTTCGAATGAAAGGCTGAAAGGGGAACAAAAGGTGCAATAGTGTCCGATTGGCGCCACAATTAAGTGGAGCTGGGAGCGAGTTGGATTAATATCAAACAAAACAACTCATAATGGAGGCTCCAAATATCACACCAAACACACGTAGCTTAAATTAGCCATTAATAAACACCATGTGTGCCAAGGTGTCACATCGCAGCGGTTGATCGCCACGCGAAGAAAGCCACCAAGCCAAGCACCGCCGCCGTTCACCGCCGCTGCCGCGACACCACCGTCCTAACTCACACCGTCGACCCACCACCGTCTGACCACAACTCAGAACAACCCCCCCTTCTCTTTCACCCAACACCCTCGCCCTCAAAAAACCCCCAGTTCATATTTGATTTTTAGAAACAAGTGAAATCTAATTTTGGAAAGGAGCGAATAGTTAAAACAATGAACCCTTTTGAGAGATAATTTGCCCAAAATTAAGAAACAATCAGTTATATTATTTCAGACACATTTTATCTGATAGCTGTTTATGATATTAAGATAAGATGTAGGATGCGACTAAAAATGGCCAGAATTAATAGTATCTTTATAAGGATCAACATTACGTGCCTTTAGACGTGAACAGACTAGTTTGTTTAGAATCTTGGCTCTGAAGTATAAACATTGTATCTGGGCGAGATTAGAGCCTCTGATCCGTTGTCGCCTACTGCCGATTGAATTAAAAGATATGAGCTATCAGCAAGTCTGTTGGTCTCAAATACAGACATTAACCTATAAACTGTACAAATCCCCCACCCATCGGGTTTATGATCACTTTATAGTGGTTGAGTTTCGTCTGCAAACGAACGTGTTTCTACTATAAATAGTTGTAAGAGCGAGCTTGAACGGCCCTTTCATACTGAATGAAGACTTCGATCTAGTTATTTTTAAGATTTTGATCTAGTTCAAATTTTCAGGTGAGATTTTCATCTCGCATTTTCTTCTTGGAATATTTGAAGAAAGGCTTCCTTTTTGACATATATAGTTCATAGTTAGGTGTAAAGTTGTAGTTATTTCTGTAATTCTTCAATATCAATGGAAATCAAGCAATGTTATTTGATTAGCAAAGTACCAAAATCAGCAAAGTTGGGACCGCTGGTTGGGAAGACCCGGATCAGTGAACTTTTTGGGGAAATAATGGGGAACTGTTGTTACCGCAGACAGAAAGTCAGTTAGGGCGACGACGGAGGGCGGCGGTGGTTGAGTAGGGCTCTAATGGGAGTTGTATTGGCTAGCAGGGGCATGATAATATTGATCTAATATTGGAGGGGATTAGGGATTGAGAAGTTGTCGCCTCAATGGACGCAAACAGACGTCTAAGCAAGCGGGAGAGGGCGACAGACAGCGGAAAGAACAGAAGACGAAGAAGAAAAGAGTAGACTAGCAGATCACCGAACAACGCTAGAAGAGTAGAGTGGAATAGCTACTCTGGAACGACAACTGGCCGCGTTTTCTCATTTTAAACCTTCATTTTTTGACGGAACAATGCATCCGAACTGAACTGAAACTCCAAAATAAACAATATCGTGCTATCATATCGAGTATTAATTACTCAAAACGAAGACTCTTAATAAACCATCGCTTCTTTTCAAAAAAAATTATTGCTTTGAGTAAGTCCAAACCATCGAATATTGATTGGAACTTGAACTCAAGTTAACAGCTGGGTAGATAAAATGTAACCAATTTATACTAGCATGATCTATTAAGGCTGTTTGGGAGAATTTCGACTATGTTAACCGTCCCCCTCAAGCCAGTAAAAGAAGGGGGTGTTAACTTAATATTTCTTAATGATTCAATGAATGAAGAGGAACATCTTCAATTTATTTAATTAAAAAGCAAAGAAAGTGAGATAGCTTGATACAAAATATACTTTCTTGGAATTGCGCTGAACTTCTCAAAATTTGGCATCTAATCGCGTCAATTTGCCATGCAAGGAGAGGCTTCGGGTATGAACAAAAGAAAAAAAGATAAACATCTCACTCATAGAAAATGTTTTTTTTTCTTTCAATTTCTCTTTTCTAAAGAAGTGAGATGTTTATTTTTTCTTAACTCAAGTCTAAAAATGAACTGAATTTTGTTTAGATTTTGATTTGGCCTCAGAATGTGCGACCTCAATACAGAGACTTTGTGAATGACGTCAGCGGGGACAAATTCAAACATGTGAATCGGAGACTGGCAGCCGCCCATTGGAATCTGGACGTGAAACATGTGCCCAACTACCCCCCTCCCGACAGAGAACTGCAACTGGCATATGAGGAAATAGCTCGCATGCAGAGACTAAAACTGCACAAATAGATTTATAAAAACTCTTTACACTTATAAATACTTTCTATTATTTCCAGTCTTGATTTTTGATGAAAGAAAGTTTTATCAAACGACATTCAATAACTTTTTACTCGTCATATTTCTCGTGCTTTTGTTCCGATTTTCGAAGAAAGTAAGGAATATATATCCTCGGGGTATTTTTGTTTATTCAGACCATTTCTCAAAAATATTTTCCACGGAGGATCGATCCAATGATATTCATGATCCCGGACGGGGTACACTGACGACTAGACTATCCTGAATTAAAGAGTGCTGTGAAACGCTCGCAAATAGACTAACGTGACTAAATGAGCGCTGTGAATGTTTGATGCTGAAAATTCTACGGGCCTTATTAATGAGTAGCGAATTATCCCGCACCAAATTCAATTGAGGCAAGCTAATTGGTCTTTTTTTCATACACGATGATTAATATTCAGCTTAAAATTCATAGCTTGTCAATATATCATAAAGAAAAAAAATATTCGAGAACAGTTTATGGACAGTCAGGGCTTTGCGCTATGATCCAAGCAGTCTTGTTTCAAATATGTGGCAAGTTCTTTTCTTTTGTTTTACATAAAATTTTTAAGCTGTAGCCCAGTGACAAAAGCCAACATAAAGGTTAAAGTTAACAAAAACATTTCAACATATAGTATTACTTGACCGAGCTTAACTTTTAATGCTCAAAAATGATGAGATAACTACAGACGCATTTAAATTCATAATAAAAGAATTCTATAATAGAAAGAATATACACATCAACAAATTCATTGAATATTTACAGCGTCGAAGTTTTGAATCTTGTCTAAATGTAAAAAAATCCTTACTTCGAAGGACTCCGTAAATAGTCATCTCTAATTTTTAATCCCATATGTACCTCAATAATTTCTTGTTCCTAGAAACAGTTCATTCAATATAATTAATAAACAATAACTTGAAAAAAAAATAAATGTAAAAAAATAAAACTATTTTTTTTTAATTTGAGTTTTTGTGAAAATCATCTCCTCGCACCCCTTATGAAGGGCAAAATGATGGTTTTTGCCCCCAGTAACAAATCAATTACGGCTAGTAGCCTTAGTTCAACAAAATTGGGACGATTTCTAGGACGGATTAAATATCAGCTTACACGTTAATAACGCGAAGTATATCGGTCGTTATTTGTCCCAAATTGACCAAAATGGCATATTTAAAAAAGATCAAAGGTGAAATATCTTGTTTTTTTTTTAAATTTAAGCTCAAGACAACAATACTTTTTGAATGATAAAAAAAAATCCGTCATAATTGGCTAGTTGAGAAGTCGAAATTTGTCTGAAGAAAAAAGCCACCCGAGCATATTTTCCTTCACATTTATTACAAAAATCAGAACAGTAAGCTCAAAGAGCGGGAAAGATAACTGAAAACTGTAACTGAAGCATCTATGTCTCGTTCGCTAGATGCGTTGGTAGCCTTTTAATAGTTACCTGAAACGCTGAATGTTAAGTGGATTCTTTTTTGAGGCCTAAAGCGTGGTTATACTTTAAAAACCATTTGACCCTTATCATTGTGTAGTCATGATGTGTTCGCATTTATTGAAGCATCAATAGCTCGATCACTGTAAACTTTGGTATAGCCATGAATTTTCATTCTAGTTTTTTTTCCATTTAAAGGATTGAATTATAAGACAAGGGCAATTTTCAAAAGTGAATTTGGCTCATCAATGTAAGGTTATGATTCACTTGCAGTCTTGATTTGTTAGGGAACATGATTCGTCCGGAGTAAAAATTCATTCAAAATGAAGTTTGAAGTAGGCCATGAACCATCTAAAGATGTGATCAATGCAGGGTTCTAACTAATTCAAACTCAGGATTCAAAAAAGGAAACATAAATCATGTGAAGTCAAAGTGTTCAAAACAGCCCTGAAAACTCGCAAGTTTTATAAAATCTACGCCGTAGTTTTCTCAGTATGGCTGCTTATAATAAAATTATGTTTCAAAACTCCGAAATTTTATATTTCGAAACATACAGCAAGTTCACCTTTTTAGCTCAAAACCAGAACAAAAATTTGGGGCAAACCCGTTTTTTTGTCGACACCGAACCAAAATATTGAAAACCTTCTAAAGATTCAAAATATGAACAAAAATTACGAAAAGCTGCTAAAGCTTCAAAGTTTTAGAAAAAAATTTCAAACCTGGTTTTCGTTAACACCGAAACATATATTTGAAAAGCTTCTAGTGTCCGGCGAATCACGACTGGAAAGGCTTAAGTATGATATATCACTCGACCCATTCCGATGAGTGTTTGTTGTACCTGATTTTGCGTGAAAGACAAAAAAAGTTTTAAAAAAGTAAATAGCGGAATAGGCCGATTGGAAAACAATTTTTGTTGAAAAATAACTAGAAGAGCAAAAAGTTTTTTTAGCAGATTTTTGTTTAAATCAAAACTGAAAACAATTCAATATGATATATCACTCAATCTAGTCCAATAATTATTGTGGTAACTGAGTTTTAGTGTTGTGTAGGTTGAGATTTGGTCTTTTTTGTTGTAGTTGACGTTGGCCTTCCGCGCCTACGCATGGAAATGAATAACTCCGGATTTTCGCATCAGCTTCGTCCCATGGAAGAGAGTTACATTGTACGCCTTTCTCTCTTGCCTTTCCCAACCAACTCGTTTTTTTGTTTTCGTTTATCTTGGTTTTTCCTTTGAGCTTCAGTTTCGCTGGATATTTCGAGTTCGTATATGGGTTCTCGTGGTTCGAGTAATGGAGGTTTGGCTCGCAGTAGAATCCTGACCTCTACTCCATCTTTTGCGAATACCGCCATCTCTAGAATGGCTGCCCATTTGGACCACTCTAATGGTGGTTATGCCGATGCTTTTTCCCAGAATGGGTTGACAATGAGAGGATTTTTTGTAGAGCCTGATGGCTGCGCCATGTCGTACCCTTCCATAAGAGAATTTTAAACATTGAATCCGAACGGATTCGCAAACGATAATTCATAAGCGAGTGTAAGTAAAACAACTGATTTATTGAATCGTTTATTGACTTCTGACCTATTAGCTCAGCCTCTTCGTGCTCTTGAATCGTACAAGTTCAATTTGCCTCCAGAATGTTTCTCATCGCAGTGAGTTTATATAAATAGACAACATTAGTAAAGTTTATCATTCCCCCTGGGAAAAAGAGTAAACTCTTAAGTCCTGTTGGTACTGGAGATGACAAAGTCCTTATGGGACTGTTTGAGTTTTGTTGTCCTCGAGGACTCTCTCGCTCTCTCTCCTGTGAAGTTTTTTTCATTTGACTGCTCTTTTTTGTTTCTTCGCATCATCGTCGTCGTCTTCAACTTGCTTCTCGTATTTTTCCAATGATATTTATTCTTTTTCAATCGCATTGTCTTCTTTTCCGTCTTTTCTTTCTATCAGTAGTACTTCATCTTTAGTATCTCTCTTTGGGCTGTCTACGGGGGAAATGAGATCTTTTATCTTCGTAGATCTTTCTTTGTGTTTGGGTTAAATCTACTCGAGGAATTTCACGCACGCCTGAAATTCGGGTGATTTGTCAGTAAGTCCCATTTCTTGGATTGGACTTTTGAGGCTCGGCTTTGCCTCTGTTGGCGTCGTATCTGTTGGTGACACTATGCTGAACTCTTTTTTCTTCTGGCTTTCTTGTTTTGGCATGTCGATCGTTTTGATCAGGACAGGGTTCTCGAGTGCCTTTGCTAGTGGTGACTGACGGTTTCGGATTGATTTTCCGGTTGATTCGTCGATTACTGTTGGAGTTGTCTTCTTTTGGATGAGCCGTTTTGATAACGGTGCAGAGTTTTCTGATGTTGTTGACGACTCTTGTTCGCTTGATGATGTCTCTTCTGGTGTTTTCGTTGTTTTGTCTTGCTCGATTGTTTTTGCTTCCGCATGGAAGCTCATTCACCACTTGGGTGTTCTTGGTGGTGGTGGACCGCCAGGTCTCTTCCCTGTTGGATTGCCTGTCTCCTTGTTGGGCTGCTTTGTTGTACCACTGCCTTTTCCTTTCACGTTGAATTTCTTGGCAAACCCGTTGTTGTATCCTCCTTGATCATCGGGTGTTGTGGGGTGTTCGACAGCTCAATGACTAAAAAAAAGGTCCGGATCTCGGACATACTCAATTAGCCATTGTGGCGCGAATGCAAATCCTCTAACTCTTATCAGTCTTGGTTGCTTACCGAGTGTTTGAACCCAAGCCGTGTGTGGTGTATCGGTCAAAATTTTGCCGTTGGTTATTTTTTATTTTTTGAATTTTGAATATTTTAGAATTTTCACTTTTGTTGCAATTCGTATAGTTTTTCTTGCCACTTGTTCTATTTGTTTTATGAAATTTTTGTCTACCGTTTCTTGAGTTTCCTTATATCTTATGTTGAGCTTATCTTTATCTATGGCTATCGCTTCGCTATATTTCACACATGGTGTTTGTGGTTGTTTGCTTGTGGACATTTTTGCTTCCACCGATTGGGGCCTGGAGGTTGTACTGAACGTCGTTTGACGGCGATTTTGTCCTCTGACCATGAGTGTAGGTCGTGCTTGACTTCAGCTGGAAGTGGCGGTTGTGTTGAAGTTTTCTGATCTAAACATGAGTGTTCTGCATTTTCCCGACTTAGATTATTAGGGGAGCTATTTGTTGCTAGGCTAGAGAGTGGAATGTTTGGCTTTCTGCCCATGTGAGCTTCAATCTGCGAGATTTTTGTTATTTCCTTTGGAGTGATTTGAAGTGTTTTCAAAATTTCGGCTACGACCAATGCTAGTTTAGATTGAGGGTTGTTTTTGTCTATTCTCATTAACCCTAGTCTGCGGTTTAGTGTTTGGATCATTCTTTGCACTACCTCTATTGATCTGTGGTCTTCTACCAGTGCGAAAAGTAGCTTGAAGTTATTATTGTTACAAAATATTTGGAATACTTTGGCTCGAAACGTTTGTGCTTGGTCATATCGTAATCTTCGGGGCCCCCATTAGTTGAAATAAAACGTATCATAATTTTGATCGCAAGCTCTGCTGTTGTGTTTGAAACAACTTTTGCCCGTCGAGAATTTTGACCACTTATCTATTGCAACCAATAAATATACATTTTCATTAAGCTCGTCGGGAATGGGGCTGGCAAAATCTAATTGAATTTCCTCATCTGGTTCGAGTACTGGATCCATTAGGAATGATTGTTGTTTTCTTTCCTATTATAGGTTTTAGTTTTTAACCGTGTTCGGTACAATTCCGGCAGTTCTGTGCCAT